ATTATAGTGCTGATCAAAACTGAATGTGCATCTGAACACAGTCCTTGGGCCAATCATGAACACAGACAGATTTCTTCAAAGGTCTTGACTTGGTTGAAGAAGAAGAGCAGATTACACATCAAACTTTCAAGTTTGATCCTAATGACCTAGGGAATGAGGAAGAATACACATCTGTAAAGGCTGGGATTCAAGGCAAAGATTCAAAGAGCCATCTGGCCACCATTTACTTATGTCTAAGATTGAAGTATACTATATTTGAAACCTCTCATCATTATGTTGATGTTATCAGCAACTGAAATACTAACAAGTTCACATGCATTCACTGAATTTTCTGACACAATTGAAGCCTTGTAGGATGAAGTCAAGAGAAGTTGTGTTCTATTTGCATATCCTAAATTGAGCCATGCACCACAGTTGTATCTTCTTCAGGAGTGGGCATTGGACCACCCTGAGAAATCTTATCATAAACTTTGCATGGATCCCCCTTCTTTGTACATCTCATCAACATCATTGTGAACCCCCCTGTTTTCCAGAACAACTCAAATAATTTGCAATTAGTACCTGAGTCCATTTTCCCAGGACTGAGATAAGACATTTGTTCTAGCTCATTCTTAGCTCATTCTCTCCCCATCTGTTTGTTTGCATTCACTAGACCTCACTCAGAGGTTTGTAGGTTCATCATACTGATCACAAAGACAAACCTGTCATATGTGCATTAGGTAGTGATGTAGAAGTCCAGTTCAGTCCAGTTCAAGAGAAAATTTTGTGAACACCAAACGTGACTGCACGTTCGATTCAGCTGCTAAGCTGAACGTTGGACCAAACATCCTTGAACACATTCAAGACATCCAGTTCACATCCAGTTTATGTCCAGTTCATGTTTGAACATTGAACACAAGATCAGGACTAGGTCAATTATATATATTACATGGCAAGGTATGCTATCAAGAAAGAGACTATGCATCTGTAGTAGTAAGATTAAAATCATCAGCAGTCACAGTAGCTAGAGGTTCCACATGAGCCACTGCATCTGCTGCAGCCTGAACATGCCCATTTCGATAAGTACTTTTCAACAATTGTAAGGCCTCGAAGACATCAGGTGTGAGCCGATTGTGTCAACTGTGGTCCATGATACCACCACTTGAGAAGGCTCATTCTGATAGTGTTGAAGAACCTAAAATAGCCAGGTGGTCTCATGTCTCATGCAGACAAGTGTTGGGTACATAGTTGAATGATGCTAGAAAGGATATAAATTAAGATGAGACTATCAATCAATGAAATAGATATTGCTTACACCCCACCAATGGACAACATCACTGACCTCTTCCAATGGGCTTATCATGTATATGTCGAGTTCTTGATGAGGATTGTCAATGGTTTATTCAGATGACTGACAACACAGAATAGCCGAACACATCTATGAATGTCCATATTGGACAGTACTAGGTCTTGACGACAACGACAAAACAAATATTGGCTGAGGGGTGGCTGCAACAGGAGTGTGATACTGGTCAAACTAAACCAGAGTTAGTGATAATGAGTGGCTTAGATGATATCGTGAACATATCATGGCTTTGAGTTTTCTGACACCTTCATCAAAGGCGTTGGACTTCCACTGGGATCGCACATACTCTAGTTTGTAATTTGGGTCCAGAGCTGCAGCAGTGATAGCATTAGAAAACAGAAGTTCCAATAAATCAATTACATACCCAAGCAAATAAAGTACATGTCAGTATCATCAGTTTTCTGTGACCACTTTTTCAAATTCTTGAGGCCTACTTCCAATGTGTGAGTTATACTTGAGAACTTCTCGTGAACAACCATATTTTCCCAGCTCTGCTGGAGGAACTCCAGGACCAGGATGGCTTGCCAAACTGTTGGGTCCTTTGAGCTTGAGAAACTTTGAGTGGCATTGGCAGATTCCTATAAGACATGATGAGATTCAATGAAAAGAGACTACCAGCTAGTAGCCACACACCTGAAAAGCTTTGTGCAGAATTGATAGCTGTATCCAATCACTTTGAGTCAGCTTGAAGTCTGAATACTGTCTCTTCTTTAATTTATGTACTTCATCACTGTCATCGGCGAGGCAGATGAAGCAATTGACCCTCTGCATTCTATCAGCACCTGTAGGAAATGAAAAGAAAACACTTGCCTTCTGCAACACAAGAAGGCAATCAAGGCATGTGAGAAGTGATGCCCGATGGGTGCAGACCCAGTGGATAAGCTCAAGAACTGGTAAGTTGACCTTCACACATAACTAACGGGAAAAGACACGGGCTTGAGGGGACTTTCCAATCTAATTGTGAATGTCAGTGCCATGTCACACAGTTTAAAAACTTTACATACCTGTGTCATAAGTGCCAGGGCCTTACCAAGTGCATTCAATGTATCTTCCTCTTCCTCTTCAAAATCACTGCTGCTAAGTTGTGAGTTGCTCATAGTGGCGATAGCCTGTGCAAAATGGCCTGTGGCCACATTTATGGCATGTTCCATGCACCTGCATAGTGCAAGTGAGTACAGGTGTGTTTGCTATATAAATGGTGATGTACCAGACTCTATGTTTGCGATGGTCATCAATCTTTGCTTCAGGAACAGCTTCAGCAAAAGCCTTAATGGCTGTATCATTGTCTGCGGTGTTATCTGCTGTGAACCAGCCAATCTACACACAAAATTACAATGCTAGTTAGCTGAAATTGTGTTAAATACATTTTATTTGCTTACCTTGTAATGCCGATCTAGCTGGTCAACTCGAACTAGGATGTTGCCAATATTATGCCCTGAATGACTGCCTTCTATAGGAGTAAAGGAAAGCTGCTCACATTGAAGTTCCCACTTGTGTGGAGCATCTATAGGAGCATCAATGTAGTGTCCTGTGATTGACAGGAATGGGTTGCCAGCATTAGAAGTCCATCCATCAAATGTAAAGGAAACGCGCCCATCAATGCCCTGTAGATGTTCTCATATCTGCGACTCCACATTCTTGGCACACTTCATAATCTCTTCCTGTATTTTGTCACGATGTGGAATGTCTGCATCAGACAGACCTGGGCGAGTGTGAGTGAGAAGCCAATGAAAGAAATCCTTGTCGACAAGTAAGAAGGCTTCGTCTTCAGCCACAATGAGTTCAACAATGTAGTCTAAGAGTCCAGCAGTAGTAAACTATGGTAGACGAGGCTCTCATACAATAGCGCTGTCTAACATTGACTAATTTGAATGGCTGTCTGAAGGGAGAGCATGGATGTGTGGCTGGATTTGGTATTTGTGGCAGCATTCTTTGTACACTTTTATGCAGTCCTTATGCCTGAATATTGTGTGTCAGTTTAAAGCAAGTATCAGACAACAGTATTCTTACCTGCAAACATGAGCACACAGTGAAGTTACACTGCCCTTCAAAAAGCAGTACTTTCAGATGACACCTTTTGCCCTGAAACACGCTGTTAGTTTGAAGAATAATGTACAATATTAAAACTTACTTGCAGACCTTACACCAGTGCCCAGCTTCTTCCTTTCCAGTATCAGGGTTGATAGCCTTCACATCACAAGTGAAAATGGTCCGAATGTCGGCTGTCAAGTCACTTTTGCATCGTTTGGCCCCCTGCTGAGACAATTACCCTAATGTCAGAAATAAAGGTAAAAATTAGTACCTCACGGTCTGCATCCCCCATCACCTTTGTTTCCTGGTACATTGATGGACTGTCTTCATCATCAGTTGCTGCATCTGTAGTTACTCCATCAACTTCAACTTCATCTAAGACAGCATTATTGGGAGGAGGCGCTGTAGTATTGGGAGAAGGTGCTGGAGCCAATCATTTGGCTGGAGCTGTATTGGCAGCTTCGCGGATTTTCTCTGTCAGTTTAAGAGCTCGACCTGAGCAACGAGACACAAAAGCAGATGCAGGAGGTGGAGGTGAAGCAGGAAAAGGGGTGTCATCATCCAGGTCATTGTACCAATTAATGGTGCTAGCATCTTTTAGTTTGCCATCAGATCCAAGTGTGCACACCATTCTCACAGCCAGAGGAGTGAATATTGTACCTGTAGTAGATCATTCATATCAAAATTTGTGGTAAGAGATAGCAAAATGTGACACACCTTGAACATATTGTTGCCATGTAATTAAGTACCTGAATGAGCATCCCAAAGATAGGTTCTGGACATAAATTAGATTATAATCCAGATAATGATGGACAGTGAGCTTATTGAAACATCAAGTAGATTACCAATGAAGTCAGACATTGCTAATAGACATGCATTGAGTGTTTTGGTCCTAAAGAGCCATTCTTGGTCATTCAATGTTCCCAGGACTGACAATAGCCATATTGAATTTGTTGCCAGACAATCAGAGAAAATATTAGGATAGATTGATAGCAATAAGCCTGAGGACATCGAGTGGATCATATACAGATGTAGGGACAGTTCGAACATGTCCAGACAGGTTTGGACAGGTTTGGAACTTTCAGGCATCAGCCGAATGCTGAATGTAATGACACATTCAGTCCTGAGAGCATGTCGAACATCGGACTGGACCAACAGTCCAGTTCAGAAGGGTTCAGGTTCGAACTGAAGTTCTGAACCAGACTTCTGCATTACTAGCATTAGGTAAGTAGTGAAATGCTAAATCTGTGATTCAACCACCAGATCAAATAAACCACTGTGTTGGCAACAAAAATAGTGCACATATGGCATGTTGCAAGCATTCGTTTGGCAGGGCAAATCTGGGGGATGTACAAGTGTACTATGAATCCAATGGTCAGAAAGGCTGAACATGTGTTTGATTTGCCTAGACATTTGTGGCATTTACAGTCATATTCATAGTGGCTATGTATTTTGAAGAGATGATGAGGCACTTCTATATGTAGCACCTGAGTTACATCTGATGAGTAGCATAGTCAGCCAATAAAAGATCATTTATCATTTATCCTACAAAACTAAAGTCAAAACACTATAGTAACATGATACCAATGGTTCCTGATTACAATCCATTTCAGAAATTTGTGACATATGGAAAGCATGTATGGCCAATGTTGCACTTTGCATGCTTTTCATACTTTATAGTGTTGTCACTGCCAGTGACCTGACAGCAACTCAGGCAAAATTACTATATTGTCTTTCTGGGTTCATAGCTGTTTGTTATATGATGTTTGGTCTGGAAAAATGAGCCAAAATATGTCTGTGTATGGCTCAGTCTGGTTCACCTCTGTATTTCCGTGACTGAGCGTGGCTGAGGCATGTCGCGAGTTTTAACTGGGTGTCCTAGGGGGATTAAGGCGAATGTTGAACCTGAGAGAAAACGGCGTGGAGCGAGCCTGGGCTCGTCTTAGTCAGCAGGGCCTTGAAAGAATGACGTGCGGCGGAGTCCGTGAGAGCTCTTACTTGAATACTCAATATGTTGTCCACCGCAAAATCTGCTCTGCGGCCCTCTCTGGCTCGTCTATTTGCCGCTTCTACGACCAAAAGGTCTCTTCACACTCTTCCGGACCTACCTTATGCTTACAATGTTGGTGTTTCTTCATACATGAGCGCGGAGGATGCATCTGAAGCTTAATGGTTTAGGCTCTTGAGCCATACATCTCCGAGGCAATAATGAAGCTCCATCACTCTAAGCATCATCAGACCTACGTTAATGGACTTAATGCCGCAGAGCAATCTTATGCGAAGTCACCTTCCGTCAAGGAGAAGATTGCCTTGCAGTCAGCATTGAAATTCAACGGCGGCGGTAGGGCTCAAGCTCAAGGCTTCTTTTCTTGAAAGTTTGACTTTGTGTCATCTAGGCCACATCAACCATTCGTTGTTTTGGAAGAATCTTTCGCCCTCCAACGCTGACGGCGGCAATCTTCCCGATGGTCCCCTGAAAAAAGCCATCGAACGTGACTTCGGATCTGTGGAAGAATTCAAGAAGCAGTTCAATGCTGCCACCGCAGCTATCCAGGGTAGCGGATGGGGATGGCTCGTAAGACATTTCACATGTTGCATCATCTATATTGTTGACGTTGGCGTGCGAAGGGCTACAACTCTGCCACCAACAGGCTTGAGATCGTTACGACTGCCAACCAGGATCCTTTACTTTGTACGTAGGCTTTGAAGTCGGACGGGATACCCCCCTGACACATTTACGCAGCTCATACACCCATTATCGGCGTTGACATTTGGGAACATGTAAGTGTGATTGGTCACCAGCCCACGGTAGTCCACTGACGTTAGCTGTTCACAGGCTTTCTACTTACAGGTATGTAATGATATGGCACATAATGGAGCTATATTTCATGTTCATTTTTCTCTTTTCACAGTACCAAAATGTCAAGGCAGATGTACGTGTCCCTCTCTCTGTTCGAGAATTACGGCTCATACGTATGCAGTACCTGACCGCAATTTGGAACGTCATCAACTTCAAGGAGGCAGAGCAAAGGTTGGCTGAGGCTGCCAATTAGCTCAGTTGTTTATGTGTGTTTTTGCGTCATTGCATAGTAAACTTCCGTCGCATAATGTGATACGTTCTTATGAAGTTGAACACACGTTGAAGTTGCAGTTAAGTACCAGTCTACATATGTTGTTTGCTTCCACTGTATTACCTGCAACAAAAGTTAGCTTTTTCGAGCTCTGGAGGAATGCAAACCTTCCGTAGCAAACGGATTATACAGCAATTCTCCAGGAAATTATGATCAAGGTGTATTTCATGATAGCTGTTTGTGAATATTCCCGGTGGCGAGGTCAATATGATCCAGACTATAACAGAGTATTTGCAAGGTAGGGAGTTGGCCCGTCAAAACATCCACAATTTTACGCATGTTCTTTTCTCATGTTCAGAATACCCATTCTGCGACTGTCTCGTATAGCCTATGTGGGCATATCATATATCGAGCACTGCGCCCGCTCGGTGCGCATTACGTTGTCTCGCTATGGGCATTGGGCGTTTACAAGCAGTTCGATTCACGCAACTTCGGTTCAATCCGAGGTTCGGTAAACAAAGTAGCCCGATAGTTATGTGAGTGTTCTGCGGGGTCATGGCTGGGATGGGCCCCGCCCAAAATTTAACATTAGGTCCTGGAACCTTTTCAGACCCTTTGTTCGGCAAGGGATTGGAAATACCCGAAGGCCCTTGACCATTGACATCTGGTCCCAAATTGCCCAAGCAGGCATGCACTCTAGCGGAAATTAGGACCTTGAAGTTTGATAAAAATTGTCCACGAATGACAGGGCATCTCACTTTAACCACTGGCATCGGTTAACGATCACGATTGTTCCTCGTAGACGGTCATCGAGATCAATAATCTTCAGGAAAGAGCAGGTGTCTTATCCCCACGTCCATGTACGACAAGGTCCTGGAAACTAGCCGAATCCCGAAAATTGCACATGTACACTCTTCGAGAGCACCACCGGCCTCTACGTGGTGAATATAAGCGAATTCTAGCATCCTCTTCCTTGCTGAAGCATGTGCTTATTTACTAGAACGTACTAGATGGGCCAATTATTAAGTTTCCATTTTTTTTCAATCTGATTGATATGACTGACGTCGCTATAGGGCCCTGACGTGCCCTGACACGCTCACAGCCTTTCCTTCATGATCACGTTCCCTTTCATTCTTGATATAGACGATACATAGAGCCTCATCAAGTTTACTGGGTCAAGTTAAGTATGTTATCCTTGGGCTGTCCATCGAACACGAGATTCATTGACACCGCCACACCACAAGACAAAGGCTTCTAAAATTCTACCGCTATGTCGCATTACAACTGATGATGGTGGCGAAACTGGCTAACGGGGTTGATCATCAAGATAGGTCGATTAGATCATGATGCATAATGGATGATCGATTTGAGCTTCGGACCCACCGCGTTTCATTTTACTGTGCTATGATAGTATTCAGCACTAACCGATAGGAGTAATGGGCCTTTGATTGGGCATTCAACTTTGCGAGTCGTTGTGGAATGAGTCCTATATCAAGGACACAAACACTTTGCCATATATTATGGTTTCAGGTGAGTGGTGACCTGGTTGACCGGTGGCGTATTGACACTCGGTTTCCGATAGCTCGGCGCTCGGCGCTCAGGAGTTCAACACCTTGTTTCATGAGGCCAGCTTGACCGGGTCCGAGTCGGATGTGACTTGATCCAGGTTTCAGTTAGTGTTCAGCATGTACAAGCGAGTGATGTATGTTCTACTTATGTAAATACAAAAGTGGCCATTAGTGCTGTAGTTGTAAAACAGAGCGATGTGTCATGAGACACTCGGACCATGGATGAGGTTGTCTGTGTGAGTTCGGTGATGCACATGGTGCCACACACATCATAGAACGTAGAGAGCTGGATTAGTACAGAACTGATGGAAATACCCAGCATCGCTGCTCTACAAAGTGCCGACTTCTATTGCAGGGATAGTCACGGTAATACCAGAATAACCATCGGACTTCCAAATTCAAGTTGCATCAAATCAGCAGTTCCTATCGTCCACTATATGCACAGTTCTTCAGAGTTCTTCCCGGACTTTCCGCACGAAGCAAGCTCGTTGAGACACACTATAATGTACGTTGAAAGTTTTTTTGATTACCCCAATTGGTTTGCTGGGCGACGACACCGGAGCAGATAATTATTTCCATGAGCGGTTTAACTCATAAATTCTGCTCGAAGAGGGTCAGCGGCTTAATCATACACAAGGTCAAAACCCTGACGGCGACAAACACCTTCTACAGACCAACGTCTCGATACATTGCTGCTGGTACATACGCATGGAGACAAGCCCCTATGTCGCTTCTAGTACGCTCAATACGGCACCCGTGTCTAGTGAGATGCGTTAGACCAAACGCAGCTTAGCTTGATCACTCGATGGCTACCGGAAGATCTTGGCTGCCCAGGGCGATATGGTATGTAGCCGGAATCGGCGTTTATTCCAAAGGTGTCGAGGTCATCATCAATCTGTATTTGCTGCCCTGACCCCAAGACAAGGTGACCACACAGATTTGATACAGATCGATCCCTGTCTAAGACCCCGAGTCTTCACCCGTAATCATATCTAGGCTTTGTACTCGGACGCTAGTAAGCATCGTCATAGATGACGGCAGGCAGGGCAACTAGTAAGTACCGGCGGATGACAAGCGTGTGCACCCCACATTTTCCTGGTATCTAAGAATACAACGCAGTGTGTAGCCTTGGAACAGACGGAGGGACGGTACACTGGCGGCGGGCGCCCTGACATATTAGCGACGAGATATATGGTGCGGCAAGTATGTCCGAATCGCCGCCGACCCATTGCTTGATATATGTTCCGTATTTACCCAGTGGGAAATCGGCGTTCGGAATAATGGTTCGATTGGTGCAGTCACAGTACTCTCCGAAGACGAGTCTCAACGTTGTGGGCCTCTGAGATCAGAGCAGTTCGTCATCCGGTATTAGTGTGAAGATTGCACCACTAGCATTTGTTCACCGAAAAGAAGACTTTAAAACCACGCTGGCGGCACGTTGCTGCCTCGTGTTCTTCTCATGCCGTTCACACATCCCGGCATTTGGTCTTCATGAAAAGTCTGGTTGGTTGGCACTATCCCTTGTCGATGTCTTTCTCGCTATAATGCGGCGCAAAGCACAACCGAGCCTTGTCAGCATCCGCGTTTGAAGTTGTAGAAGTCGGACCTACACTTCTATTCCCGTCACCACCCTTGGATCTAGATTCCTTGCCAGGTGACAACACTACACAATGCGAAGGAGAGTCAGGTCGCCGATCTCCTTTAATCCATCAAGGAGATCAAAGAATGAGATCCAGCATCTTGCATTACAAGACAACGTGAGCCTATACGTTCCGTCTCAAACGTCGTAGACATTTTCGGTGAGTCCTTCCGTGCCCTTCGCAATCAAAGATATCTCGAAATTTCCTCATTCATCCTCGTTTGAGCACCACTCAAACCAGTTAGAGCTAACTGACATGTCAGCAGGCTTTACACTCTTCTTATCTCCAAGACACCCACCACTTGCCGAAAGATCGCAAATCAATCAAGGGTGCCAATGGGTCATCCTTCACGTGTAATGTGTCGTGATGTACTGATGATGGTGTGGGTGTCGCCTCCTCAATTTATGTCTTTTTTATACACTTTCGTTTAAGAAGTCTAGCTTCGGACAGGACTGATATGAGGACCCCTCCCTTTCGGTTTTGAATAAGAAGGGCCAGATATCCTCTCCTCCTCCACTGTAACCCAAGTACCCATCTCGAGCAAGTCCAAGCTGTATATTCTGTGCAACACACTGTCCTCATAATCATCATGCAACGATACGAATCCCTTCCACCACAATTTTACCTTCAGGATCTAGCTGCCATCACTGGCCGAGTCTGCGAGCTCAGAGTCAATCCTTACCAAGCCGACGCCGACCGTGCAGCGCGCTCATGGTTCAACCAGTGCGTATCATTCACCGTCCGTGGCATATACTTTGCACTAACAACAAATTTTAGAATAAGTGTGTACGATGATAGGAAGAAGTCAAAGTTCCTCAACTACGGCAAATTCGATCTCTTTGCTGCATTAAGCTTTCCAGATGCTGACTCTGCACATCTTGAAACTTGTATTATGTTCTTTTTCTGGGCTTTTTCGGTGCACAAGCTAGTCGTCATTCATGCAGTTCTATCAACTCACATACTGGATTTTAGACGGACGATCTTTCTGACGAAGGCGACCTACAATCCAAACCTGACGCAGTGCAAGCTGGACATGATATCTCCGTTAGTGTTTACACAAACCCTGATGGTTCCCGCCCAAAATACCCATATGCTGCAATGCTGTACGAGTATGTATTCTCGTTGCTAAACCCTGTGACGTAACTGATGACTGTGTGTTATCTAGCTTGCTAACGCGATTCCGCGGAACATCTACCATTGGAGCCTATAACCGGTAAGTTGACGCTGTAGTTGAAGGATTTTTATTCTGATGCGAAACTCCGTTCAGGTTCATTAAAGCATTTGAGGCATGGAGTAGCTCTCAAGTATCACAATCTCGCAACCGTTCTCAAGATCGAATGCCCTCGGTTGAGGAATTCATTCTCATGCGTCGTGCGACCATCGGCGGCGCTCTTGTGGAAGGTGAGAATATCTCGTATCCCCCTCGGCCTCGCATGTTGCTGAAAGTGTCACTTCAGCGATGATCGAGTATTCTCTTGACTTGGATCTTCCGGACGTTGTCTTTGAAAATCCTATCATCAAAGCGATGTCAGACGCGACAACCGACCTTATGACATGGCCAAACGTTTGTTATTCACTCATTTGACCTCTTGACTTGGAGGCTCATGTTTTCTCTTGACACAGGACCTTTGTTCTTTCAATGTGAGGAAAACGACATTGACCACTGGATCATACTGACTTGTTCATTCCTCTCCAGAAAGAACAAGCTGACGGCGATTACCAAAACCTTGTCTTTTGTATCATGCATGAACGCGATGTCGGCTTGCAGGAAGCCATTAACATTCTCACTGAGATGTTGAATCAACGCGTGGACGACTACGTCAACCTTAAGAGCCAGCTTCCGTCATTTGGTGCCGACGTGGATGCCGAGCTGGAAATATACCTTCATGCGCTGGAAAACTTCACGCAGGGGACCGTAATGTGGTATTATCTCAGCCCGAGTAAGTGCCGAGCGTCACTTTCTTGACAGCAAGCTTGACACGGTCTGTTGTACAGGGTACTTCCGCGGCGTCGATGTCACCAATCGCGAGGACCTCGTTGTGCCACTCTTCGAGAAAGGAGCATTCTAATGTGTGGCGCTCTGTGACATATCTTGTTTTTATTTTGTAAATAATGCTCATATTACGCGGAGTTTGTGATAACACATCTAATGAGGTTGTTGTTGTACTACCACTACCACTCAATTAATATGACCTGTTTGTGTATGTTCTGCGGTCCATAGTCTAGACATCTTATGGGCCAACATTTCGCATAAATGTTACTGCGAGGCGGCTGCCAAATACGAATATTGCTATCAATTACCGAAGTACCGCATCTGCAGCACCATTTCAAGATCAAATCTAACTAACGCCAAGAAATGAACGTGACATACACATAGAAGGCATCACTCCTCTCCAGCTACCCAAATCTCCTTGAGCATCAAAGGATATATCATATATGGCATCAGAACGTTGTCAGTACTAGCAGTAGAACCAAATCATTTGCACTGAACCAGAATAGTAACCAAGTGTATGAATTCTAAAGTAAGTACTTACTTACTACCAGTAGCAGCTTAGTAACACAGTGGGCCCGTGACCGGATCGAGGATAACGTACTATTGATCCGACTTATGTTAGGACTTCTGCCGCGCGTAATAATTTTCCACTTCTACTTCTGGGGTCTTTGAGTTCAAAAGGGACTGCTTGCAGTATCAGTATGTAAAAAAACTGGCAGGCAAGGGTGCGCAGGTGACAGGATCCTCAATTGGAACTAGTCCTAGTAATTAAAAATAAGTCTGCCAGTGTTTAACCTTTTCCCCTTGAATCCTGCGTTTGCCAAATCCTGGGAAGTTTTTTGGAAGTTCATTCTTACTCCAACCCTCACGCAAATCGGAACTACTGGCAGGGGATGAAGGGATATGACATTTCTCCTGGTATGTATCACGGTTTCACTTTCGCTACCGCATCGCCCATTTTGACAGGTCTCTGTTTTCTAGACTCAGAACACTAAGCTTGATTTAAGATTCACCATAGTGCAGATAGTGTTATGCTAATTGCAATGGAAGGTTTAGTAGATTATGCCAAACGAGACCCAAGCTATGGCTCGCGGCAGCCAATTGTGGTTTGCAAGTCCCTTGTTGTACTCTGCTGCGTGCATCAGGTGGGTCTGTCGGCAATTAATGATTTAATTGGCAGATCGGAAATTGCATTCTACAGATGCCTCGTGCAAATTCTATCTCTTATGGAGAACTGGCAGATGCCTTTCACGCTGTTCATCTCTCGCTACGACTTTTAAAATTGAGCGCAGGCGGGATCCGGGACCTCATCATGAGCTAAGTGTCACGTACCTGCCTATCTGGAAAACTCGTGGTTTTGATTTGCGAGCAAGGCTGATAGACTTCGCGGCTGAACAAGACCCTGAAGTTTGCGTTTGCGGTCAGGCGGAGGCCGCTTCTCTAACGCCCGTTTTTCGGGTCTGGCATGTATGCCATCATTGATGGCAGAATACCGATTGTAAGTATTTTATCGAAGCAGTCAAAGCGTTAATGTTGCATATCAGCATCAGGCAGACAGCTGATTCGATAGCAAATGACCTGAATGATGGTACGCCTGCTAGTGAATCACATCGTGCACAATGCTCTTTTTGGGGTCATTTAACCTGGCAGATCGAGGTTTTCCTTCCAGATCCTAATGTGCCAGAGGTGGCCAAACCAGAACATGTGTCCGTAACAAAGCTGCTCAGTGACGACGCCCACCCGAACACTGATAGCTCATACGTGAGATAGGCATGATAATCCACCGGAGTTCGCACTCTTTTCGGTTCCTGTGCAGCGACACTATTAGACCAGACTTCTCGACGCATTGTCTAATGAACTCCGTGCTTCGGAATTAAGCTGATTTAGAGAAGCTTCCCTGCTGCCCCCTTATAAGTTATAACTGCCGCACCACAGAGCCACTACTGTTGACTTGCCGTATGGTGCAGCAGAAGTGAGCGGCCCGCGATTTTTCGCTCCCGTTCTGACCATACTGTCTCTACTGCCATTGTCTGATAAGGAGAGATCATTTGCAAACTCAGAGCTCATATTTCTTCGCACATCCATATTAATGTTCAGTCGGTCACACATATACTTAGGTCAGGGTCAAACCTACTAAAGTGCGTCGTGTCTCTATAAGACAATAATGTCAGTTAAAGTCTAGTGGGTCACAGTCCATCTCCAAGAATTCCCCCTCCCATCTCTCTTTCAAAGCACTGATTGTCTAGTGATTCAAGATGATCCAAGGAAGATCCAAGGAAAGTCTACCACACTTTAAGTCGCCAAGGTTCAAGCCCGAACGTAAATCCTGACTCATGGGCTTCTCGTATTCTCCCCAAACGCGACCTGAGGCTGCGAGACAAATCTCATGCACATGAATTACCTGCGAAGTATTCGAGAACAGCTAGGTTTCACAACCATGCAAAGGCGTACTGCTATGTGATGGGGAGACCTCTAGCGGCTCATTGAGATAGGGCAAGGCACACATGTAAAATTTCCCCTCGACTCAGATCAGAAAATAAATGCTCATGCCGAACAACAACATTCAGGGTCCAGGAGCTTTCGTCAGACGAGCACAATTGGCGGGCTTTCTCCATCAACCGTTTTCAAACTCCTATTGGAGCCGATTGATGTGTCACGTGATTAATGCGTGCTTTTATTGCGGAGTACTGACTTGGGAGGCGTCACTGGAAGCGATCCATCATGACCTCCAAACGCAATTTCTTTGGTAAAGGCTCTGTCGTGGTTGCTACCGACGATGGCAGCCCAGTTCGACGCCTGGCAATCACTGCTGACAGTCTCGTGACTCAACCATTCGAGGGCATCGACATCATTCCAGATGTCATCGACTACGCCGCCCGAACACATGGCACAAAAGATGCTGTGGGTTGGCGTGATATCGTCCGCATTCACGAAGAAGAGAAGGAAGTAACAAAGACGGTCAATGGAAAGGAAGTCACCGAGAAGAAGATCTGGAAGTATTTCCAGCTCAGTGACTACAAGTACCTCAGTTTCCTGGACGTCCAAGAGCGAGTTTCGGCGCTCGCACGAGGTCTTCTTCACCATCAAATCACGAAGGAAGACATATTCAACATCTATGCTCAGACGAGGTATGCCTGATGTCCTGCAGAAACCTTCATGGCTGACGCCTAAGATAGCGTAAACTGGCAGCTTATGTCTCATGCGTGCACAGCAATTGCAACTCCTGTAGCCACTGCCTACGATACCCTTGGCGAATCTGGACTCACACATTCATTGAACGAGCCGAATTGTGTTGGTGTTTTCACTAATGCCGACCTCCTGACGACCCTGAAGAATGTGCTTCCGAATACCCCGTCGGTCAGGCTCATAGTCTATGATGGTGATGCCAAGTCGTCACTTCTCGATGATATCCGCAACATCAGGGAAAACGTAGTCATTCTCTCCTTTGACGAACTGCGTGAGATTGGTGCAAAGCAATCCAAGGAGGGTCTGAAGGAGCGAAGGCCATCTAGAGACGATGTGGCTCTGATCATGTATACCAGCGGCACTACTGGTGCCCCTAAGGGTGTGGTACTTACTCACGGCAACGTCATTGCCTCTGTCGGTGCTGTCTACACGCTTCTTGGTCACCACCTCGGTACCGATGACAGTTTCCTGGCATACCTCCCACTCGCCCATATTCTTGAATACATCGTGGAGCTTATCTTATTCTTTGTCGGCATGAAGACAGGCTACGGCCGCGTGAAGACCCTTACAGATGCATCCGTACGCCAATGCAAGGGTGACATTGTCACTTTCCGCCCCAGTATCATGGTTGGCGTGCCCGCCGTGTGGGAACAGATCCGTAAGGGGATTACCACTAAGGTTAACGCTAGCGGCACCTTGAAGAAGGCCATCTTCAATGGGGCGATGGCGGCCAAGAAGGCTGATGTTCCTGGCCTTAGCCAGCTGGCAGATGCTGCTGTGCTCAATAACATCAAGCAAGCCACCGGAGGACGACTCCGTCTCGCATTGAGTGGTGGCGCTGCTCTTAGCAAAGAAACTCAAGAGTTCCTGTCGGTTGCACTCGTCACTATGCTCCAAGGTCAGTAACTTCCCGAGCCGATTTGCGAATATGTTCACGTAATTGAGGGCAGGTTATGGTATGACTGAATCTTGCGGGATGTGCGCCATCTTGCCCCCCGAGCTCATGCAATATCGCTCGGTTGGACTGCCTGTTCCTTCAGCTGAAATAAAGCTCCTGGATGTCCCTGAAGCGGGCTACAAGTCGACTAACAATCCTCCCCAGGGAGAAGTTTGCATTAGGGGTCCGTCGGTGACCAAAGGATACTACAAGCGGGACGACCTCAATAACGACGAGTCTATCTTCACTAAGGATGGCTGGCTGAGGACTGGTGATGTCGGTCAATGGAATGCTGATGGGACTCTTTCTCTGATCGACAGGTAATCTGACCTCCTGGACAATCTTCTTCGTCTGATACGCATTCATTTCAGGATTAAGAATCTCATCAAGCTGCAGGGTGGCGAGGTGTGTTAAGTTGTCTTTCTTTGCCACAGATCAACTAATCTGCCGCTTCTCAGTACATAGCCCTTGAACAACTTGAATCGACGTACAAGTCATGCTACCTTGTGGCGAATATTTGTGTATACGCAGATGCTGAAGCCAAACAACCCATTGGTATTATCATCCCCCATGAAGCCAATCTGCGCCATGCTCTCGAAGCCAAGTCCATCCCCGCAGATGCGAACGCTCAGTTATCGGATTTGTGCGCCAACAAGGCGGTGCAAGATCTCATCCTCAAGGAGTGCAATGCCATCGGGAAAAAGAACGGCTTCAAACAGATGGAGATTCTAGAAGCTGTTATTCTGACGGCAGAGGAGTGGACGCCCGAAAGTGGCCTCGTTACCGCGGCACAGAAGGTGCAACGCTCCAAGGTTGCGAAGAAATTCGAGAAGGAGATTAAGGTGAGCTTCAACCTTTATGCTTTTCGGTCTTCCGTTGACGACAGCTATAATAGGCAGCATATGCTGTCCAATGATTTCATGTAATTTGGTTGACTAACCATTTGTGTTTTTACTTCTCGCTTTACTTCAGTCTTTGACAATTTCACCTATTGTACAGTTTGTATGTTTTAGTCGGATTTTTAGTATGATAAATGTGATAGAGTACACAGTTGTTGTTACTTCTACGGCTTTTGATGAGTGGAGTGGGTGCTATGTATAGTACTAGTGTGAGTGGCATCTGACTGCGGTTTCTCTGCAATTGGGTTTTGTATGGTCAGACTAGAGGATGCGGTGCTGTGATGGCTTATATAAGTGGTCCCAACCCGCGCGCAAGAAGCCAGCGGTCAAACGCAGTCACCGTGTTCTTCTGCTTCTCACCTCTCTTCTTTACTTGGGCTTCATTCTCATCACAATACTCATTATACACCTTTTTGTTTTCTAACGCTCCTTGTAATTGTTGAATTTCATCGCGGCTAGCGCGCAGGCTTGCCTCCGTCTTCCATTAGTCCGAATAATCTGACCGCTCACAGCCCAGCAACATTCATGTCGTCCCAAAACCCAGTACGCATATTTTGTTCCTTTATTCGAGTACTGGCTCTCAAGTCTTACATTCCGGCGCCTTGTTTGCCTCGCGCGTAGATTCGCAGAAAACTGGTCATCGTCGGTGACGGCACGTAACCGCAGCCCTTTGTTTCTGGCCATGTCCGGCTAAACTTGGACTCACAGGTGCTTGTGGGAAGACCTCCCTACTATGCTCTTTTGCGCTGGGAGAATTTCCAAAGGAATATGTGAGTCTATACACCGTTGTGGCATGTGCCTACCGAGCGCAACTGATCTCACTCTCAAGCAACCGAGTAAGCTCCCTTTGGAGGGGCACTTATCCGGCACTGGCTTACCTATTGACCTTCTCAGCTATATTTGAAAACTATGTCGCGGAAATCAGGCTAGATGGTAAACCTGTGCAATTGGCACTTTGGGATACTGCGTTTGTACCTTCTCTTCTTGCGCTAGACTTCTCTTTTATCTAACTATTGTGTCATGCAGAGGGCAGGAAGAGTATGAAGTAAGATATTGATATTTCATTACCGGGTTTTCCCGCTTGCTCATTATCTCCTGCGTCAGCGTTTACGACCACTGTCCTACTCCAAGTCACATGTTATTTTAATTGCTTTCGCTATCGACACCCCAGATTCTCTGGATAACGTATCTGTAAAAGTAGGTTTATATCGACACGTTTTCTTGGCGCGCCTGTCGATCCCTGATCCGTCCTGTCTAGTGGATCGAAGAAGTTCGGAGCATATGTGGCCCAACTATCCCAATTCTACTCGTTGGGTGTAAAGCCGACTTGCGTCCATCTCCCAATTCTCCTGATATTGGCAACTTCGTCTCGCGTGCTGAAGCTGAACGCGTGGCATCAATGATCGGTGCACGCGCTTACAAGGAGTGCTCCGCCCTCAAGATTGAGGGTGTGGATGATGTGTTCGAGGCTGCCACCCGAGCAAGCATGCTTATGAGAGAGGGCGTGCCCTCCTCTGCTCATCATAGAAGGAAGAGCAGTGGGCGTAGTGGTGAAGCGTCCAACGGAGACTCGACTGGTGGAAGCTGGAAGTGTTGCGTTGTCTGCTGATAACCTCACTTACCCGCGTTCATTTCGGGTTCATTGATAGCTCTTCGGATGGCCCGCTTCTTCCTCGGCATCATCATTGACCTATGGACTAGCTTCAGCTCTTGCACATACGTGATATGTCGCGTTGTTCTCGCTTTGATTTCGATCCGGAGCTAATTGCCTCCACCTTCCCCAAGTAGTCTGCTAATATCACAGGATCTCATTTGTCTGATTTTTGTTCAATGCATAGCATACTTTTCTTTTTCGTTTGCTCGGCGTTTGCCCTATACGCTATGTCAAAGCTAAGTCTTGGACCAGGTTCATGTTTAGACTTCGGATCGTACTTAGCATCTTATACATGCAATATCTGCACACTGGAGAAGCTGGATGAATTATCAAACGAAAGCAAAGTAGGGTGAAATTGTACATGTGTGCATGTGAATCTGTCAAACCCTGGATGCACATCTATCAAACGAAGAATCGTCGGAAAGGCTTTCGCAGGAGTCCGGGTCTGGCCGCGGATAGACAATTGGCTCCGACTTGCAAATGTTGTCAACTCGCATGACCAATGAAATTGGCCTCAACGATCTTGTCCATCACATCACTGTCAGATAACCCGGAAGGGCCGAGAGTTCCAACGAATTAAGTGAAGGGGGTCAACCAGCGTGTGAGTGAGTCGTGGCAGATACAGTTGCTTTGGCACCTCCGCAGAGCTGTGACCGACGGGAACAACTTACATCGAAACATCATGTACGTACTAGGCGATGTTCTTGTGTGCCAAGATAGTGCCAGGCATGGATAGAGGCTGGCCTGGGTCCTCGCAAGTCAGCGGTCAATGCAATGAAGAGATGATGATCAACTTGGACGCCCCATCACGACTAGAAGACTTCCTCATTCCTTCAATGCTCTATGCAGCTAATCTAAAATAGATGGTCAGCGCTAGCTGATTTTAGCCCAGCCATGGTAGCTAGAAGCTTACACAGATTGATGTGACCACCTGGTGAAATAACCAGAAAATTCAAACCCACGATTCTGAACAAATTTTAGTGCCGGCGTCCGCTTGCATGCTGTAACGTTCAAGTATCAGGCAAGATCCGAAGGACTGAATAGTGGCGCCTTCTGCTTTTGAAGTGAGACTTATTAGGATCACCAGTTGTAATGCTGAGCTGTCAATGAAGTTCCAGGTCAGACCGCACGCGCGTAACCGTTGCATCAAAAAGTAGAATGCTGAATTTGAAATTTGAAAGCTCATCTTTCAGCATCGCATCAGTGACAGTATATATACTGAATATGCAGGTGAGCCAGCGTGCTTACATCCCAACTGAAACCGAGCGCTGGAAGTCTGGCTATCTTTACCTCGGGATCTGAAAGAGAAGGTTGCCGGGAAAATTTGTTGCCACAACTGTCATTGACCATGCAGTGGCATCGCATTGGGTCGCTTTCTTCATTTCTTCATGTGAGCAGCGATTCAAAAATGACGATGCATTATGGGAAAACGAAAGAGGTTATGTTTGAATTTGAACTTTGAGACCATTCTTTAGCGGCATGTACTTATAATTTACAAATAATATTTACCACATTCTTGATGTGTACAGCCATTCTAGAGGAAATCTAGTGAAGAATTTGGAATTGGAAAACTTGCAGCTTGTCATAAAAAAGGACGAGTCGAAAACTGTTCTCATCAAGCCTGAGCTTCCCGGAAGACGAGCTCATCGATGCGTCCACGGGCGAGGTCGTACACCCATCCGTGCACAGTGACTTTCTTCGCATTCGGGTCTGCCCATGCGGTGGTGATCGGTTCCGAGTTGCAGATATTGTCGACTTGCGTAATGATATTGGTTTGAACGACTTTATCCAACGCCTCACTTGCGGAGCACGCGGAGAGGTCGAGGGATTGAACGAGCGCGATGAGGGGGCTTAACCAGCGCGTGAGCGGTGTGTCGGGTTGGGGCGCACCGGTATCGGCAGCTGCGTCTTCGGCTGCTTTCAGGCAAGCAGCAGCACCTCCGCAGTTAGTGTGGCCAACAAGGACGACTGTTAACGATATATACCCGTTAGAGGAATAATCGAAACCTTATCATGAGTATAATGAGACACTCGCCGTGTTCAATGCCGACTACTTTGACAGCATAAGTGAGAACGGAGAGCGCGCTATCATCGTTGAGGTGGAATTGGCTGCAAGGATGGTTGAGTAAGCTCCATGGCCTCAGACTTCGACGAATTACGTACTTGGCGATGTTTCTGTGCACAAAGATATCGCCAGGCTTAGAGGCTGTAATGACTGATTCCGGCACCCGCGAGTCGGAGCAGCCAATCCAAAGGATCTGAAATTGACCTTCATAAATGGAGTTAGATGGGACTTGGGGTGGGCATACCTTGGGGCTCTGGCCGGTGGCCGACTGAGTAAAAAAATCGGGTGTGCCCTTAATTACGTTTTGCGCCCACTCCTCATTGGCGTTGAGTAGGGTTTGCATAGACTCGTGGGACATGCTGTGGAGAAGTGGGAGGCAAAGAGGTTTCGGAGGGCGGTCGGACTACAGATGTAATATATAGCCGAGTGGCACCATCTTATATATCTTGACTGGCACTGCTAGATAAAGTTCGGTAAGTAATTTATTCTACTGTTTTTAGTCTACTGATCTATGTTTTGATAAGTAAAGCTGTACTTATAACTACGCGGTCTGATCCCGGCGCCCGCTGTTCCGTACACTCACGGGTCGGTCAATTGACAATGACCTAAAGCTCGTCCAGCAAGCCAAGTCCTTCCAACAATTCCAGCGACTTGTGATATTTGATGGACAGAGCTAGTATCATATGGTCCGCACATTCCTCCTGCATGCTTAAAGCCCATCTTGAGGGATGCCGACAAATATACGAACAGCTTCTCGCTTGGCGTCAGTGTCTCCTTTGAGGGGCAGACCATAAGCCTTGAGAATAGTCTCGTAGCGCTCCTCTACATAACACCACGCGATCAGTGAACCATTTCAAACCCAAGTTCAAAAATGCACTGACTTGTAATATGCTCGAATTCTCCCCTAGTAGCAGGGAAGTTTGGCGGTGGCTTGCCATCGTTTCCAACGGGCGCCTTGAGTGGCGTATTCAAAACTGTACACCGAGAGTTGTTCAAACGCGCAGGAAGTCGCTGTTGGCTGTGATAGATAGCAAAGGTACGTCAGCCTCCGTATAGTTCATCTCAAATACTAACGCACTCAATTTCCACGACTTTCTTGAGTGCCTCGATCTTCTTGTCCAACTCCTCCAACGCAGGTCCTTTATCCGTGTTCAACTGCGTAAATTGCTCCTTCAATGCAGCAAACTCAGCCGCGAGGCGTTCTTGTGTGCTCTCGATCGACGCGAGTTTCGACTTGAGAGACGCAAACTCAACTGTCACGTCATTGCCGCTGAATGCCGTGGAAGGGACAAGCGCGAGTGCTTGTGATGCAGCCGCTATCTGATCTGCCATCGCTGCAAATGATGCGGAGAGACGGTGTGGCCATAACGGCGCATTCAAGCTAGCGTAGTCAAAAGATGGACTCGCTAGCGAGACGTCAATAGTCGGCGCCGACGACCCAGGTCGGGACTCTCCTGAAAAAAGGCCATTTGGCGACTGAGGTTCCCTGCTAAACATGGTGGTGAATGATCGGTTCTGCCAAAGGCTAAGTTCTTGAAGGATTTATGGCAGGAAAAGAAGGGGCGCGGGTGGGCCGAGCAGGGGGAAGTTCCAAGCTCACGGACACAGGAACATGAGATTGAATATGTTATCCTTGACAAAATTCTCATACGATGTGCGAGAATTTTTTCGTCGATGGGACTAGGAGACGGAAGAATGTATGCCCATTGGACATGCCATGCCAACGGATGTGAACTGGCTATGAACCGTGAGCGAAGGCTTACTATATCTGCGCGAGTCTGATCATTGACAGAGTGCTCGGCAATTCCTGCTGCGCACCCGGTGTGCGAATTTGTAAAACCACTTAACAGACAGCCAGGAACGAAGTTGTGTTGTCCCAGGTTATCCTACACGACGAATCTCAGACGTGGACTCTGGTGGAATCGGCTTATCGCATGTAATTGTAAGATGTAGTTCCTACCAAGACCATATCACTCCATCTATGGCCAATTCGTCGTTAGTTTCCCAGATTCAGGCAAGCTGGGACCTTAGTGCAGTGCTTGAGCGTTCACTGCTCCGCGGCCATCAGTCACCATTCCCCATTCTTCGAGCGAACTCTCGAGGTACCCTGACACTTTGCATTGACCCTGAACAACGGGGTGTAAATTGCTGAATGTCCACAAATTACTTCATATCATTTCACTTCTGAGAAATAAAATGAAATCCCCACAAGTCCGACGGATACACATCAAATACTGTGCTCGATCCATGTTGTTGTTGTCTTCACTAACATCCATCCTTATCTTCAAGTCTTTGCCTAATGAATCGACAAGCTTAGCCTATCATGTAGGATTTAAATATAAAATCGCACCATCAAACATCCACCGGTGGTTTACGACCTGCTGATAGCTGACTACATAGTCAAACAAGCGACCTTCGGGGTCAGGCCAGCCCCACTAAGTCAATCCAGGGTGTACAAATATACATGGTTACAGAATGACACACATATAGGGGTACAGTGTGGGTAATGCGGATGTTTTCTAGGTAGTCTTGTGGACAAGACAACGTCAGCGAGTACGAGAGGACAAGCAGATCGCAAGGCGAGGACCTGATAGAACACAGACGCCGTAATGTTATTTCCGCTGTCGTTTAGCGTGAACCGGAACCGCATCAAGGTCAGCGTCATTATTAGCGGCCACGTTGCAAGCAAGAGGTAGCAAAGATCTAGATTGGAACTCATCCGATCATGCATACGACATGGGCGGCAGCGGGGTAGTCTCGCTTGAAGTTCTGGGGTGCTGTGTAGTCGTGCAAGGGGTCTGTTCTCCTCCGCGAGATTTGCGTAACATTACATTAATTCGAGAAGATCAGATTTACCATAGTATTTTTTTTTCTTCGAAATCACCATGAGGTCATAAAGTTCAGAAGAGACAAAAGGAAAGCTGACTTTGGAAATTCCATGATCATTTCCGTACGAGTCGATACCCTACGGAGCCAGATATCAGGGTATATTGATCATTCCGAATGGATGCAGTTGTAGACTGACTGAGAGGGCAATTGCAGATTGAGTCTGAATGTTATATTCATTTCTGGAGTAGTTAGATATCAGGAACGGCCAAGCTTGGTCGACGTCCAACGGAAGATATTAGACTAGTAAACGTGCGTACTTGAGATGTGCGTGACACCTCAATTACTTACAGTAGACAGCGAGTCCCCAATGTACTGGAAAGTAATATGAAATGGTTCATGCGGCAGAAGACTGGCACCCTGGTTGAATGAGATGTGGTTAACTGACAAGACACCCATCCCGATTTTAACCGTTAAGCTCAATGCTCTAGAAAGTTGTCTTGTCATCACACCCAGTCGACCTTCACTACTGTATTCGATGCAGAAAAGAGGTCGCCGAAAAGGATGTCATTGATCCTTTGTGTAGCATTGAAAGTCTAGAATCCCCGTAGCTTATTGGCACCTAGAAAACGGGATTGGACGTGTAGGGGCCGAAGTTCCATGTCAAGGTTCTGCACGTTGATCTCGAAGCCAAAACTGGTCCTAAGAATCGCTCGATAAATTGAACAAAAATCGCTGGAAAGACAAACTCACCACCATGTCTCTGGCTCATCATAGGAAACACGGCAGCTTCAGCAAACTCTGGATGCAAAGTAGAAAGAGTGCTGCCTTGACCCGTAACAATGAAGAAATAAACTGTGCCCACTGTGGAGGATGACGTGTGAGGATCGGCATCGCAACTTTGTACAAAGACTGCATTCTGCCGTTCGGCTGTGCGCTCTATTCAGCTGCCTCAAGTTTCAGCCTGATAATGATAGTGAACGCTTGCGGATTTAGAGATATCCATTCTTTAACTTGCCAAAGCCTATATTGGTCCTAGGTTGGGCTAATGAAAGGGCCGTGGAAGGAGTTTACAGTGTTCAAGGTTATATCGGGTGGTGGGTATGCTAGCAGCGGTAAAAGTCATTGGACAGCACATACAACCAGGTATCTCTTGACGTCAATCTAAGCAGCACCATCAGTAAGGAAAGCTGTTGACCGAGTAGTTTCTTACGTGTGGTTGAATCTAAATTGTCCATCCTGTAGTGTTTCATTCGAGTCTGGGAAAGGATCCGTAAACCAGTCATTTATAGGTGACGCTCATCCATATCAATTAGATTGCATGCTCGGCGACTCACGTTACAGTAGATTTCTGTCAGGTCTGAGTCGGTTCGGCAATGGCTGCAGGGATATGAGATCGAAGAACGTTGGAAAGGCATGTTATAATGGCTCGTCTGTGGTGCATGGTGAAGCGTTATACTGGATTTACATTTGTCACTTGTACAAGCCATCTTTCTGTGCCCTTGAAAGTTGCAAATGACTAAATGTGGGCTCACTAGCAGTCAATGAACAACAAAGAGATTGCGGCAAGCGCCTCCTTGGCCGTTCCATCAGTTTTGTATTTCTCCCTATATGAGACATAGACGTCTAGGGGCGAGTTGAAGTGTGTCTGCAATCCGCTAATCGATGGTGCACGGAAAGCAAGCACTAAACGCCCTAACGGAGGCGCCACCCCCACCAGTCCGTCACTCCGCCGGCCGTTTAAATGTGCAGGTCTTCCAACTTGCGGAACCACTGTTGTCCTGTTCGTGGTATAGTGGTCCCTGGCGTTTGTTGTGGATGGTACAAGTACTCGAATGTCAACTCCTCCATCCTGACCGCTGGTAGGGTCGTCGTTGTCAAGTGAGGAGCAATGAACCGGCGACCTGCGCCCGTTGACGAGTGTGAAATCTGCATCGAGTCTGCCTGTAAGAAGACTAGTCATCATTTGTCTTTACGAGCCGGAGGAGATACATCACCGAAGGTGGCGTGTAGGTGGCCTGAGCTTTTGACATAACGGACTCGGATGAGTGGAGCATCTGCCCTCGAGGAGAGATTCGGCGTTGATGATGACTTGAAGTAGCTAGCATCGCTTCTGTTTAAATGTTGGCGTCGCTCAGCGCTCAGCCTCCAATAACAAATAAGAGCGGAAGTGAATTTTGGTCTAAGGGCATTTGTAATCATATATCTTACGTTGAACAGTGAACACAGCTTCTCGGCACCAATTTGTAGTCTTTCGATGATGCCAAGGCCTTCAAGTTGTAAGGCACTTTGAAGCCACTAACTCAACTTGTGGCATTATAGAGTTTTTTTTCGACGTATGTCACATAGCCCACAGTATCTGTGTCTCGGTATCACCGAAAGCCTCAGTGACAATGCCAGCATCATGATATCGAGCGAACTTAAGACGTATCCATGGAGCTGGTAAAGGTTCAGCCTTCCAAGTCATCCCTGGTACATCCCTTGTACATCCCCCCATTACAACCATGACTTCAAGAGGCATCCCGCTCGATGTGGCTGCTATAATGTCAATTGCACTGGAAGGTATTCTATATGGCGAGTAAAATAGTTCATTCATCACATGTTTACTCTAGTACTAAGCTACAAGTTGTTCTTCAGGGTTCTCCATCCTCATGTTTATAGGTACCATTTGGGCGCTGACCTACAAGCGTCGCCTGCGAGAGGTCAATCGCCTAATTGTTGCAGTGACCGTCATGTTATTAATACTGAGCACCGCAGTTCGTTTCTTGCTTCTTTAATGCTGCATCAACTACTGAAGTTCCCCAAGCACATGATCGTAGACATCATTCGCCTTGAAGATGGATTGGTAAAATACCGTGACACATTTCCTGACGGGCCCGCGGCATTCTTCGCGGACGTGTCCCAAATTACATATGTGATCAAGAATGCGATATATATCTCGCACACTCTGCTTGGCGATGGGGTTGTGGTAGGTCCAACTTTCTGACTGCCAGCTTGGAACCCTTTTGGCTTATAGAAATGTAACTCCAATTAAAGATATACCGCTGTTACGTTGTTTGGCAATCTGCTCGGATCGTTATTCTGCCAAGTATACTGTGGTGCTGTAGTGCATGTAAGTTTACAACCATGCTCAAAAAGTCGTGTGTTCTAACGTTGCCTTGAAGTGACTGGCTTTTCTGCAGTCTACAGTGTTTCGCAAGCCACTAGCAATGCTGGAAATATCTTCACGAAGGCGACTGGACAGTCCTTCTTCGCTTTGACACTTTCGACCAATTTAATAAGTTCTGGTAAGTACGCTTCTATGCCAGCACAATGTCGAAGTTTCATCCCAACCTGAATGTAACTAGGTTTACTGGCATATCGCATCTGGAAGATTGAGTGCAACGTCTCTGCATTACGCACTTCAAAAAGAACCTTAACGCCCATATTGCGGGTTCTCGTGGATGCCGCCATTTTGTACTCTGTGGTGCTCTTCCCCACACTCATCTGTTTCGTCTGTTCGAACAATGGGCAGTATGTTATGCTAGACATGGTGAGTCCGCCGTTAACACTTGTTATCAAGCATCTGAGCTTCGATTATCTAGCTCGTGCCGATCATCTCAATTGCTTTCTACATGGTGCTCGTTCGCGTCGCGATCAGTCAACACGCTCAAGATTACGTCTTGACGACTTTCCATAGAGGGACGACGACAGAACAAGAAACCTTGCCTCCTGTGAAGCCTTTGCGGGTGCATATATCCCGTATTACTCAAATTGACGATACCTCGGCTCACGACATGGAGAGTGAGAACCTACCATCGACATACAAGGTATATCCTGTTGAAGAGCAATCTTGCGCCGTGTAAACTATTGTAACATTTATCGCTTCTTTCTATGTTTCCAACATTATCAATGAACAGAGTTTCCACAATTGTCTTTACCAATTTGGTGTCGGATTATCTGCAATGTAGTATTAGAAGAAGACAAGATTTACATGTGCACCCAACCAGATCCGAAACAAAAGGACCTGTTGGTGGCTGTGGATCCGGAATAACTTATCAGGCACGAACGGGTCAAAAATCAAACGGGCCTGGATGATCAGACGCTCAGTTTCGGTTAGTATACTAGTAAGCAACTAGCCATCAATGTCTAGCCCCACTCAATTCTTATTTTATTCTGCCATTTGATTGTTCCGTACGTGTGCTTTGTTCCCTCTCTCTGTCCCCAGCTTTACTGACGCTTCTGCAGGATGAAGAAGTCAGTATATATAATGCGGACTTTGGCCATCGTTGTAACAATGCCTTTGGCACCGACTTCAACTACTCTTACATGTCAAACTATATGTAGCTTCTCGATGTGGCCCGAATTCTGGAGGGTCAACGTACATCGACTCCACGAAATTGCGTGTCTGACAATCGTCATGCAGACAGCCGGCCACAGGGCCCCGTTGTCGCTACGCTACGACAAAGCCCGAAGGACACTCCTTGGATTACTACTCGAAGCTACGGCGACCCTCCTGCAGTAAAACGTTACGCTTCCAGACAGTAACTGACTAGAACTCGTACTCTCTCATAGAATCATTGCACACTGCGAGTTTGCCCATGATGATTATGAATGGCAAAGGCAACGTCAAATGCCCCATACAGCAAGCAATTTTTTCCTTCGGAGCGGCCATAGTGAGGATTGGGACTATCTGATATCATGACCCTTGCTAAAAAAAACTCTTCTTCATGATAACACAAATACTCTAGTACTGCACGCACGTCGCACCTGGCCCTCATAGCCTCTTCTGTCGTCCCAACAGCCAGCTTCGCGACCATAAAAAATATCATCTATCATGGTTCTTCATATCACACATTCTCTCCATGAGGGATCTTCATTTCGCTGGGATTCAATATGCAACACAACTCATTTTGTTATCTATGACAGCAATATTGGACCTGGTGTCCATCTCACACTTGGAATTCTATCGAGCTTGCCATCGTGCCACTTAGAAAATTGGACCAAGTTGTGCAGGAGCAGACAAGGAGATCGTCGCTCTGGGAACTCAGACACCTAGCGGTATTCAAGTATTCATGGGTATCATCTTCATTGGATTGCTTGTAGGTGAATGCGTTTCCTAAGCAACGTACTGACTACACCTATTTTAAGCCACTCCCCTCGTGATTCAGTAGTGGCAAATCAACATGATGCAGAAAACGAATTGCCGTCATTTAATCACCACTCCCCGTGCTCCCTCGATTTCCTAATCGACACGGATTTCGAGTCTCAGGGTACAGAAACGAGCTGTACCCTGCACTCGTCAGGGGTTCTCCAAACGGAGCTCTTCTTCCATATCCTCCCTCAGCTTTACGGTCGTCTGGGAACGTCGTGACATTCTGCATGCATTCCTCAGGTAGTACTGGCTTCCCAAAACCTATTCCAATCTCTAATGTGACTGTTATTCACTAGTCCTGATCCTGTGGATCACTGAAACAATATGTGCATCTAAGATGGTTCTAGCATCCCATCCGCGTTGGTTCTGCACCCTTGCCATAGTCTCATTGGTTGATATATTCAGCTGCCACACCCGTCGCCTCCCTCAGCAGCGTGTCTATTTACCCACCCGCATCCTCCCAATTCCCCTCGGCAATCCTCTATAATTACCAACCCGCAAGATATCTTGGACTCTATAGTTAAGGCGAAGCCGAATACCTTAGCAGGCCCAACTTCCTGGAGCAAAAGGTGTTGTCGCAGACAGGTAGAAGATGCTCAAATATATCCTATCTCACAAGTTCTTCATTGAAATCTTCTTCAGGTAAGGAAATGCTCACATTACTTGTCTGTAATAATAGGCCTTTGCCGGTGGTCCGCTCACACCCAAGATAGGAGATACTTTGGTGGATGCAGGGGTCAAGCTGCATTCTCTTTACGGTACTACAGAAGTGGGAAACATGACTTGCTTCTTCCGAGATGAAGTTGCGCGAATATTAAAGGTCTGCGTGCGATTAGGACCAAATTCCAAGATCAGGTGGGTCTCTCAGAAAGACAGTATATATGAATGTCGAGATTTGGTAGGTCTCGGTCTTTACATCCCCTCTCAGTTGTTGAATACTTCAAGTTGCTCGCGGATAGTTCTGGGCAGAGAATCTCTTGGACATCAAAGGTTATGCTTCTTCAGATGTATTATCAAACGTCCAACAGTCGAGGGTATGTAGAAGATGATTCGTGCTATCCATATCGCTTTCTAATATTGTCCTTGCAGCGTAGGAAGATGGATGACATTTAATGCTCTCATCTGGTGAAAAGCCAGTGCCAGCTCTCATGTAGAGCACTATTGTCGCCAACCCTACGTGAACAGTACCGTCATGTTCAACCGAGGGATGCAACCATGTCGGAATCCTCATAGTGCTACGGGGCGAGGCACGAAATCAACATCGATGACGAGAAGCGGCTTGCTGGGTTCAGGAATGGTGTTTGGTAAGCTCGTGCCATATACACTTGCTGCTATCGAGTCTAACGATACCGATGAACTTGAAAACCAGATATAGAAGCGAATCAGGAGGCTCCTGCTTCCAGCAGGATCTTCAAGGAGATCGTTCTTGTGATACGCAGTGAAAGCACGTGCTGCGAGTTGGAAAGGGAACTGTCAAGTTGCACGACGAGGAGATCAACGCCCTATGAGCATTTCATAGTACATCTGCCAATGCGCGAACATGACATTCATGGGCGACAGGTACGAAAAGGTGGAGGGCAGCACTACAGCAGGCATAGATGTGCCTTTGCCTAGTACGAACTAGACTATAGATAACGTTGAAAGCTGGCTCATGGCATGCTGCTGCTGTGAGTGCCGCCAACGTGGTTGATAATTATTTGCTCAAGGCTTTGACAGGTGGGTCGAGGGCGAATTAAGGTTTATGTTCTACTGACCTACGTCTAGTCTGTTCCTCAGAAACATCGGCTCCTTAGGGATCGCGCAGAACATCTTTTTCGATTAGCGGGCTCACGAGAGTCATACAATACCGGTTGATACCAAAATTGGCATCGAGAACATGACTCTGTTACTTTGATTGACAGACGCAGGCGATGTGATTATGCGGTCATCTTGACTGGGTCCACAGACGGTCTTGGCTCATACCTGCTTTCATATCTGCTCCAGCACGAGGATGTCTCTGTAGTGTATATGCCTTCAATCGTCCATCAGCATCTAACGAACGACGACAGAAATTTGGTCTCAAAGGAGGCGGCCTGGATATCGCCCTTCCGTGTCGGAGGGGCTGGTGCATGTAGAAACGATACTTCTCGCTATGATCCGGGTCTGGATGAGCAATCGTATCACAAGGTTTGTTCCATTGCCAGTCTGACTATAATAGTCAATTCAAATACATTCAAACATAATGTAGACCCGCACGTCTGTAACTGGCGCTGCCGTCTTTGAGCCTCAAGCGAGGGGAACGCAGACCTCACTATTTTCTACGCCATCTAAGGCTGGGTTCCATGTTCACCTATCCTGCATCAACTGCTCAAGGCTGGGATAGAGCAAATGGACCTTTCCTGGGAGAAATGCTGTGCGACGCGTGTATGGCAGAATTCTGCCCTGGCTGTGCTGCGAGTAAATACGTTTGTGAAAGGGTAAGTCGTATCCTGCTTCTAGGAGTGTACAAATCTACCGAACAATGTCAACAAGTGCACCCTCGTGTAGAACTGATCAAATATGGGAAGGGCCCCCACGAGGAGCTTGGTCGACGACGTCGATCATCGTCAAGTCTGTCGGTCTAGGTGGGTTTCCGGAAGCCCGATGAGTGTATCTTTCCCGAACGTACCCAGGAGATACCCATCATTGACACACGGTTCAGCTTCTAAGCTGGATCCCTCCCCACGCTGTATCAAATGCTATTCTTGATGTGGCTTTCGCGGAAGAAGAGCCTCCCATTGCGGTTAATGTCGTACACCCGAGGCCGATAGCGTGAGGGGCAGTTATGCGGCCTGTTGTGCACGCGATAGTTGAGCACAAGGTCACAAGCGTCTCGTTGCATCTCGTTCCATTCTTGGGGTGGCTTGAAAAGCTTGAACCGAGTGCCAAGGACGCGAAGGATGAAAATATTAAGCGTATCGTACGTGTGTTTCAATGGCTAGCAGAATGATTCCCACCTGACTTCGATTGCAGCCTGCTATCAAGCTTCTGAACTTCATGTGTACCATGACACGATCAGATATCACGATCAGGGGCATCTTGCGAGATGCCTCAGAAGCAGGTGGCTTTACTCCATTCGCCACGGATGTGGTTCAATGCGTCAGTCCGACGGTCAAGGAATTGGAGCCGCTGCCGTCGGCAGATGCAGTGAATACAGTGGGTGGACTATTGAGCGGCGGTGAGGATGCTGAAATGAATGAGCAGGCCGCAGGCAATCCCTGTATTTGCTTCTAACGCAATGTGGTTACTTGGAACTTGTACTAAGATAAGTCGGAGTCCTCTCAGGGCCATCTTACCCTTTTAGGTGGTTTCATCATGCATGCATTAAGTGCGTGCAGCTCCCGAACTTTCTAGCTGAGCAGATGGTGGAGTAAAATCCATTTGAGTGCTTTGCACGAGAAGGGCCCACGATTCTCTGACTGTCTTCTGTTTGGGCGAGGGACTAGCTATTAGAGCTGGTGATACCCTGTAACCTCCCGTAATGGGTAGCGCTAGGGTTCGAATAGCAAGTCGAAATCATGGGAAGACGTGTTTCTCCATAGGACAGCCTTCTTGGAATCAGATCTGATTCGAATAAGGACAGAATGCGGCACGCGGTCGACTGCAAACTTGAGAGATAAGCTAAAAAGTATCACTGTTCATCTCCGACGTCCTCGAGTATTGTCGACGACAGCTGTCAAACACGTACTGATCATGCATGGCTGAGATGAGAGTGCCTTCGACTTGTTCACGTGAAACGAAACTGCAATCAAAAAAAAAGAGACAGGCAGAATTCCGGTGGCCCGGCACGTGGCGACCCAAATTGTGCGGTTTGCTTGTTAGGCTGGTGATCACCTTATAATGAACCTACTGTGCCAGGGCCTGCGTCATTGCTGTGTATCTTCCGTGGCCTCCACCTTGCTTCCCGGATAAATTTGAAGACTTGTACTGCGGCTAACACCAGCATTTTGTAATTTTACTGCCCAATTATAGGCCCAAGATCACTCAGGTGCGCTGCATTCATTCACTGCGCCACCGCCCGTAGTAATAGACTGTTTGAATTCTCTCTCAGACCCTGTGAAACAATGGCCATGGACTGTCCACTTCTCGTCTGGATGCTCTCACTGAATCGTGATGTATTGACAGAGGTTTGACCAATATTGTTGTTGATAGTCCAGCGCCTGACCTTGTCTCCGCAGGAGTACGATAAATGTTTTCACCTTGTGCAGGATTGCGTCCCTCATGCTAGACTCCCGTACCAGCCTACTTCTATAGATTCTTTCCGTGAGCACCACTCCACTACTCGCTTGATTTGGGTTCTGACGGCTCAGCAGGACAACTTATTTGCCACATGTTACCCCTTCTTATGATGCGCCACCGACGAATATCGCGTGCAAAATGGAAAGACTGCGTCACCTCGAATGGAAAGCACTGGATCGAGCAGGTGAGTGGTGGTCATCGACTCTCAGAGTAGCATAACTCATCGATGCTTATTGCACTTCCCTACAACAGTCACCGGATGACATGCCCCCAGAAAAATTTCTACAGTCCATGATTGGATACCACCTCGCATATGACAACTCACTCTGCGGCATGGTGATGACGCAGGGACGGCAGCGCCAAGTAATAAACATCGGGTTGGGCATTAAACAGATTTCGGTAGAGCCCAAGGGTGTCTCGGTAGCAGCCTACGCTGAATCCTTTGCACATAAAGTAAGCCAAAAGACAGTCACAGAATATCACCAAAGACTAACGAGCTACCGGCCACAGCTGACCCCGCTAGAGATGACCTTCCTCAATCCTGAACTCGGGGACGAAGTCGTCCTCCGGCGCCTCTCCATCCTCCTCTCGCTTAAAGCGGCATACATCAAAGCTGTTGGCCAGAGCACCGCTTTCGACTGGTCACGCCTCGAATTCAACATTCCCTCCGAGTCCGCGCGCGGCGATGACCACCCACTACAGGGATGGGAGTTCCGCGTATTCAAAGCTCAACTCGGCGTACAACGCATGGGTGGGGTCATGCTCGAGGAATCGTATCAGTGTGCATGCGCGTTCTTCAGGGGTACGAAGGAGTCCAAATTCATCTGGCATGATAACGCGAAAGATCTAGAGGCTTGGGTACAGTTCATCAACATTGACCAGATGGTCAAAGTGATCCCGAAACTACGCGCGTAGTGAAACCAGGCGTGACTGCTCCCTCAAACCATATCATTTCACTGCACTTGCTTGCTATTGTTATACCATGTTTCCTGCTGCTGACACTCGTTGCATGATATCTCATACCCTCTAATACCTGTTACCATTATTTAGGAAGGAATTTGAATGTGATTCATTGCAATCAAGGCTGGGGCAGGGAACTCAAGATATTTTGTACATAGTTTGAAAGTAATGCTGTAATAGCAGGGAGACCATGACATGTAGACCTTCGACTTTTTAAATCATCCTTGAAGTGGGGAGGTCGACCGATTGGATTCCGAGGAAGCCGCGGACTCTTCCGGGATGGGAGGCCCTGTATAGTGAAACCGGCCATCTAAACCACGATAAGCAAGTTGTCAAAGTGCAAACAAAAAACCTACTGATCAGATACCACACAGCACTGATCACCCCAAAGCCCACAAACACTACCGAAGCATAGTCTAACCGATTCTATTTAGCGTCTCAGCCCACACACGCAAGACAAAGACACTCACTCATCGAAACCCTCGTGACTGGGATGACAGCAGGCATTGAGAATAGCACCATAGCGAACATGATCCACAGCACGGCGACTGCATTGATGACGGTACCGAACCTCCCAAGGTTGAATGGGGCATCATGCATGTCTCGCCGGGCGTTCATGAGCGACATCGCAACGGGCATGGCGTAGGATGCTCCGAGGCACATGACAGCGACGCCCACGAAGGCGTTAAACGCCGCCGTGGAGCCGAGGTAGATGAGTCCAAGGAGAATCTGGATGACGGTGGAGAGTAGCAGGGCATTGACGGGGACATCATCGAGGTAGGGACTGATCTTTGAGAACAACTGATGGAATGGGATGGCTTTGTCGCGTGCAAACGCCCATGTTGCGCGAGAAGCGGCGCAAGATATGGAGATCGCACAAAACATACCGATACCAAATACTTCGAAAAGTGAGATAAGAGGGCGAGGTTACTTGGCAGAGACCAATTGTAACGTACCAATGAACCACTGAACACCAATCCAAATCAGAGATACAGCACCGGACGAAAGGTCGTGACAGACTCACCAGCCCGAAACCACCAGCCTTGGAGCCCATGATCAAAGTAAACATAACACCAATCGGTTGACCGGAAGAAACTGATTGACATATATAAATGAGAAGCACAAGTTCCTCCAGCGTAAAACTAACCTTGAAGCAATGTCTCGATATCCGGGAGCGTGAAAAGGATTGGCAGAAGGAATACTATGCCAGATAATGTGCCAATAGGTATGGACCAGGTGATAGCCTTCGGGAGTATTTCAGAAGGGTTGTGAACCTCTTCGGCCATGTTGGTAACTGGTTTCGAGGTGTAAGTCGGTGGACACGGTGCAAAGATATTGCGTACTCATTCCTATAGCAGAATATGTGTATGCTAGGACGTTGTTCAGCTCTGAGTCTTACAGCTTGATAAATAACAGCGTCTCACCAGGCTGTTAAATGCATCGTGAGTATTGAGTAAGGGCTTTAATATCTGACAGCGATCATACCGGTAATGTACCAATAAAGAAAGACCACCCAGGCGTCCATCCTGAATAAGATGCATCGAAATGTCCAAGCGCAAAAGAGATAGAATGGCGTCCTGCCGCAGCCTTGACAGATACACATATCAAGATTACTTGAAACAACTCAACTCAGCGCACAGGGACGAGTGGCAATGCAAAACATACCGATGATGCCTAAACCGGTCCAGCAAGCGCAAATAATCTGGCAACGTATAAGTTTCAGAGTAGATCCGCAAGTGAGAGCTTACATCGATGGCCGGCAGGTGCTTGTTGAAGAATAGGCAGAACAAACAGGCAACAGCGGTCACGCCGAGGAAAATCATATCTAGAATGAGTCACAGACTGGTCAGAAAACCATATTGATAGACTATAGATGAAGCCTTACATGTTTGCCACGCTGTTGCAGTCCATTCAGGATGGTATATTCCGGCACCAGCCACAATAAGTTGAGCAGTTCCTGATAGACTGCATCAGTCATACTCGGAAGTGGCGTGCACAGGAAGGAATACCAAATGTGACACTCAGAGCAATCGTCCAAACACCAACGACTGTCAACCAGCCATTGATCCAAGAGGCAAGAACTCGCGTGTGTGGAGATCCAAGTCGATAACACCAGTAGTATGCCCCTGCTGATGTGGGATATTTGGAGCATATCTCTGCAAGTGAAAGAGCGAGTGTTTGGGTCAAGATTGACACCAAGATCCATCTGCACAGTGTCAAATCATGTTCGAGCTATAAAGGGTAAACTTACCCCCATATCATTACCGCTGGACCACCTCCAACGAGCGATGTCGCGATGGGAGCCGCAAGACCATATGCTACAAGGAGCGTAAGTCGTAGTATTCATCGAGATTGCTGCTTAAACGCACGGACTGCCATGATTGCTAATTGAACCGTCGAACTAACAGATCAGGATGTTTCTTCACTTGAACTGAAGAACTGACCTAGCGTCACTTTTTGGAATGTATATTAATTTCTGCGACACGACGAGAAGGGCGCTTTACTCACTGAATAATATGTGTACCAGTCCTCTAGACTAGTGACGACCAAAGGCATGAGATGCGGATCAAAGTGAACAAGAACAAGCACAAACCCGTGTCATCTCCTGCTTGTAGCCTAGCTTCTCCAGCCCGACACGGGCAACAGCGTCCACATCGACTGAATCCTTCAAACTCATCGTGGTAGCACAGTGAAGGGTAACGGCATCTGATATGGGGGAAGGCTGACGCATATATTGCTTCGGATGCGAATAGAACTCTAGCTTGGGAATAAAAATATCCTATCATACTCATGCGGTTCAGGATGCGCAGCGGCCCTTGTGGAGAATCTTATGAGCGGCTGATAAGCAAGGTATCCATCAGCGTGAAAAGAACTACAGTGAAAGTTCTGTTCGCGTCCCACTACACCTCGTGACCACATTAATGGTGTACTAGTACCTACCAGTACTAGTAAACAATGATACGGTCTGAGGGACGGGGCGGCAGAACCGATAGTATTATATGATAGGAAAGGATCCTTTGCCAGACAACACAGTTGGAAATTCTATCTGAAGTGAGGTACGAGTGTAGGGTTAGGGTTCGTATAACGCATGTGGCTTCTCCCTTCAACCACACAGCACCCAGGGTATACTCCAACAAGCTCCGGCGCCCTGCTGCCTGCCGCCTTTCGGTTTTTCTTTGCCATAAACTTCGGTGAGCTTTGATGGCTCAGGTCCGAACTTGTGTGCCACCTGCATGCAATGAGGGCAAGTCGGGGGAAGTCGGCCATACTAAGTATAAAGCACTCGAAGGTGCTATAGCATTGCTCTCTCAAGCTTACTCGCTTACTCGTGTAGGAGGTTCACCGTTGTGAACTCTCTCACCACAGAACCTGATAAAGGGAGGAATCGTCCACCCAGTCAACGTGACACTGTCTGCCAGTGGCAAACGAGCGTCCCCAAAGTATGATCCACCTGCTGCTGTGTGCATATAGATTCGCGTACTTCTGTGGACATGGAGCCTATCAGAGAACCTGTGAGAAGAAGATATCGTCATATATCGTTATATATCGTAATATATAGGAAAGGTTTTCGTCACATTGTAATATAAAGTGATATAAAGCAATATATGACCATGTAAAAGCACCATAATCAGCATAATCCCCAGCAAGAACTCACCGGTTTACTGATGGCCGCCCGCCCCCGCCCGCCCGCCCGATACCTGCATTGAAGCAGATGCCCACAGTTATGCTCACGCGGATGCCTCCTTACTACCTTTGTTACCGACAGTCTCCTTATCTAGCCTCACCTTGATGCGTCGCTTTGCGGCTCCCATGGTTTAGGGATCCGAGGTTCACTTCGCTGTCGCATTCACTCCCATTGATGTAGGAATAGCGGCTCACCTTGGCTCACTTTTGCACAGGTCGGGTAACCACCGGGGCCGGGTTGCCCCTGCAGGGCTTCTGCCCGAAAGAAACTACCAGCTTGCAATCAAACATACAGTTTCTCCCGTTCTCAATGCTTACACAGCTGCACAAGAGCGCCCACAAAGTCAGGCACCTGTGATGAAACAAGCGGCCCGTCTATTACCGAGACTAGCGGACAATCAATGCATGATCAGGATACGTCTCTTGGCAGTTTAGTTCCCTGCCTTCTATCTTATCTGTTCTAGTACCACTACAGAATTATCTATTTGAATATTTCCTTCTGGAGCTTCGCCAAAACTCTCTGGTCTAGCTCAGGGTGTTGCTGACATTAGATCAAATGCACTTGCAACCACAAAATCACCCTTGGAGTGGTGCTAGGCTCTTGCTTTGAAAAAAATGGGGTTTTTCACCATGCGACATCTAGTCTAGTGTAACACAAACATCATGTCTACAGACTCTGCACAATGGCTTAACTGCTATAATAACCACAATCATATGCATGGGAGACCGAAAGGCGAGAGCTACCATGCGCTGACACCTTGATCTTGACCACCATCGTTTGGTGATAGTATCTCCACGATTGTCGCTCGGAATTATTTCAATGTAAAGCAGAGTCCGAGGATCCGGACGAGCTAGTTGAATCTTCCTGGATTGGAGGTCCTCTATAGTAAAACTGGCCGTCTGAACCACATTAATCCCATGAAGTTCCCGGACAGCAAGTAAACAACCTACTGATCATATACCACGCTGCACTAATCACCCCGAACCCCCCAAACACTACCGAAGCATAATCTACCCCGACACATTCAGTGTCTCAACCCACCCACACGAGAAAAAGCCACTCACTCATCGACCACATCGTTACTGGGATGACAGCAGGCATCGAGAATAGCACGGTGACAAACATGATCCACAGCACCGCGACTGCATTGATGATGGTACCGAAGCTACCAAGGTTGAATGGGGCATCATGCATGTCTCGCCGGGCGTCCATCAGCGAGATGGCAATGGGCATCGCGTAAGATGCTCCAAGACACATGACGGCGACTCCTGCAAAAGCGTTGAATGCAGCTGAGGAACCGAGGTAGACGAGTCCAAGGAGAACTTGGATCACGGTGGAGAGTGCATACGCGTTCACGGGGACATCTCCAAAGTAAGGGCCGATTTTGGAGAAGCACCGATGAAATGGAATAGCTTTGTCACGTGCGAACGCCCATGTTGCACGAGAACCGATACACGACGTGGACATTGAACAAAACATACCAATACCGAATACTTTGGAAGCTGATGAGAAAGCTAGGCTAATCAGTGGTGGAGACCAATTGTAACGTACTAATGAACCACTGGATACCCCGCCAAATCAGAGATGCAGCGCGCCGGACGAAAGGCCAAGATGGACACTCACCAGCCCGAAACCACCGGCCCTGGAGCCCATGATCAAAGTAAACATGACACCAATAGGTTGACCGGAAGAAACTGGATGGCATATTACGTGAAGAGCACGAGTTACCTCAGCATAAAACTAACCTTGAAGCAATGTGTCGACATCTGGGAATGTGAAAAGGATTGGGAGAAGGAACAATATGCCAGATAATGTGCCAATGGGTATGGACCAGGTGATAGCCTTTGGGAGTATTTCAGAAGGGTTATAAACCTCCTCGGCCATATTTGTGACTGATTCTTGAATATCAGCCGGGTGAATATGGTCATGACCGCTGTTAGAGACGTACTCATTCCTATACCGGAGAATGTATATGCTGAGACATGGTTCAGCTCCCTATACCACTGTGATAAATAACGTTAACATCTTACCAGGCTGTTTTGATAGATTGTGGTAATATTGAGTGCGAGTTGTGATAAGTAATAGCGATCGTACCGGCAATATACCGATGAAGAACGACCACCCAGGCGTCCATCCTGAAAATGAGGGATCGAAGTTCCCGAGCGCGAAAGAGGCCGGATGACGGCCTACTGCGGCCTTAGCTAACACGCATATCGAGATAACTTCAAACATCCAAATTTAGGAGGATAACAGACAAAGAACAGTCACGGTGAAACGTACCGATGATGCCTAAACCCGTCCAGCAAGCACAAATAATCTGGCAAGCTATGGGTATCTCGGCAACAATAGACAGGTGAGGACCTACCTCGATGGTTGGTAGGAGCCTGTTGAAAAATATGCAGAATATGCCAGCAATAGCAGTCACGCCGAGGAAAATCATGTCTACATCGGGGAATTCAGCGGTCAGCAAGCGCAAATATTGCTACACAGAAGGATCCTTACATGTTTGCAATGCTGTCGCGTCCCATTCAGAATAATATATTCCGACTCCGGCAACAGCAAGTTGAGCAGTTGCTGGGAAAATGCGTTACTGATATAGTGACGGAGCACAGGGATAAATACCAAATTTGACACTCAAGTCAGCTGTCCAACTACCAACGACCGTCAACCAGCCATTGATCCAGGAGAAAAGAAGTCGCGTGCGGGGGGACGCAAGTCGATAACACCAGTAGTATGTCCCTGCTGATGTAGGATATTTAGAGCAAATCTCCGCCAGTGAAAGAGCGAGGGTTTGGGTCAGGACTGAAACCAGGATCCAACTACAATATGTCAAATCACGTTCTAGATAAGGTGGAAAGTGTACATTTACCCCCATATCATTACCGCTGGACCACCTCCAATGAGCGACGTTGCTATAGGCGTTGCAAGACCGAATGCTACCAGAGGGTAAGTCGTGGCGTTGAGAAAAATCGCTGCTCAGACATACGGACTGCCATGATTGCTAATCAAATAATTGGGTCAACAGTTCAGTGGGCAGTTTCGCTCAAGCCGGTGGACTGACCTAGCGTCACTTGTTTGGAAGCATTCAATTTTTGTGACGCAGTGAAAGGAACGCTCTACTCACTGAACAATATTTGTACTAGTCCTCGAGACTAGCAACGACCGCGAACATCACATATTTATCGAACAGGAACAAGCACAAGCACAAACCCGTGTCATCTCCTGCTTGTAGCCTAGCTTCTCCAGACTATCCCGGGCGACAGCGTCCACATTGACTTCATCTTTGAAGTTCATCTTGACGGCACAATGGGAGAAAGAGGGAGTAGACCCATATGCGAAGGAGAAATTTATGTACCAGGTGCTAACAAAAATGCAACGTGGCACCTGGGCTTTTGGACGGGGAACTGTTTATCATATTCATGCACTCCACGAGTGCCTCCGCCGTGGGACGCCCGTTGAGAAGTGGTACAACCTATTCAATAGAAATACGTCAATATCGTAGCAAATGCGACAGAAGACGATTCATGTTCCCACACCACTTACGAATGGCGGAAGTTTATGGGTTATTTGGGTTTATCATACCGCAGACAAGTAAACGTGCACCGAGAAAACGAATGATAGTGAGGAGGAAATGGTAGGACGCCTATTGGGGATCTGCAAACATATAGCCACTTGGAAAACTCGGGCCTCGTTCGTGGTTATCAAAAGCAGGTGGTATACTCAACTGCGCCAGCGCCCGACATTCGAAACTGAGCGGTGTTACCCGTACCGGGGTCCAGAGATGTGACGGTGTCCCTTGGATCCGAGACCTGAGTACGATTCAGAATTTTGGATTTTACCATGATTGACACAGACTTTCCCGTCATTTGGCCACTGCAGATATATATTACAAGGGTGCGAAATGACAGTGAGTTCAATGTATTGGATAGTCGTTGGATACATCAACGTGTGTTAGCCAACAAACGTTAAACCCCATAATCCAACGTGCTGAACTCACCCCCATTTGAAGCCCAAAGCGGAACTACATCATTATTCTCTTGAGCCTGATTCACATTGTCGAAATGCGCCACGAAGAATATTATTGCTTTTAGAATCTGCTAGAGTATCAGTGCAACGTCACAAAACCGCGATGGCGTACCGTAATGGGCATACATGCGGCTGAATGTTTCTAACCCCATTAATTGTATCTTCAGAGCATTCAGGATTCGAAAAAGCCGCGAGACGGTGACAGTGAGAGTAGGAAGATGCGGGAAGGTAGCCTTAATCGTCACCTTGCTTGCAAGGTGGTCATATGCCAACCTGTTAATTCTGCAAATCGTCCACAATTACAAACAACGGCATTTTCCGTATTCGTAGTCCTCGCTCATTTCCTACGATTAATATTGTGACCAGTCTTCCAAAATACCGTTTCGAGTGCGCTCGTTCCCTTCGTCTTTCCAATTAAAAACGAAAACAAGGTCATCGCCGGCGAAGGCGCCTAGTAATATATACAGTCGAAAATTTGAAGTGGATTTGTCAAAGCCGGGTTCGCCGAATTCGGACTTGGTGCCACTGATCGTCACGCTTAGGGTCTGCAAATATCTCAACATCTATTGGTCACCGTAGCTTCAATAGATCAACCATGCAAATGACCCCGAGTCTTTAGAGAACAGCTTAGCCCCAGGAGACATAGCAGAAGACTAACTTACAGCACTATGACTTACACGGTACTGCTATCCGCTTGATAAGGTGCCACGTAAGTTCCAAAGCGAAGTCGAGGCCATTCAAAAATTCATATAATAATACAACTTGCTTGATAAGGAAGCGACGACTAGCCACTGCCAGAAGTACGACAGCTTGGGGAGTCGGGACTCACACGACCATCCTCATCGTGTCAAATTCTGTGATTGCACTTGATCCATTGCCACTGCTGTGACAATATTTTACCTACCGAGACACTGCGTTTGTCTTTCGTCCCACTTTGTGATTGGCGAGTGCCAAATTCATACGTTCCTCCGACGCTTACGTGAACATCGCGGGACGGCAACGTCAGGTCATCCTGTGAGAGCTGGAGGCGCCATAGCACTCGCTATTTCGGGAATGACACCAGATCTCATTCAGGTAGCAGGTCAGTGGTCTTTCGATGAATTTAAAAAGTACATGCGCCAACATGCATTCTTATTAAACGCTCTACTGCATGGCTCAGCTCGGGCGCCTTCAAACACGGACACAACACCATAACTGTCTCGCCGATCTCGGCTCACAGGACTCATTTTCTCTGAACGACTCTCGCCCTACTTTATTCGCATTGTTGAATTTTGCTCACCACCGTGAGACCTAGGCGTAAACTTGATTCCATTGCTTCATGCGAGACTGATACTGACGACTCCTGTTTACCGCCGGCGTCCTAACTTCAGCTACCTTCGCGAGATTGATGGTGATATCTTCCGCATGGTCACCGGCTTCAGCGCTATCCTAGCAATGCACACGGGCTACTGAAACCATATACACGGATTCGAGCGGGACGACATATACATCGCCCAAGGCTGAGTGATGTATATAGTGGAGGGGGTAAAACTACAGGCTATATGTAGACTATATGCAAAATCAAAAGCATTTCCTTTCAGCACTTTGACTTCATTAATATCCTGAACTTTTTCAGGCTTCTTCGACTCTTCGAGAGGTGCAAAATTCAACAGCAATGATGTCGTCAGACGAGACCAACAAGAAGGTGATCTGCATCACGAGGCTCGGTCGAGAGCGGAGGTGCCCATGCGAAAGATGCTTCAAGATCCTGTGCAGTCTCGACAGCGATGTTAGCTTCTTCACGAGTGTACACGTGAGCATGTCGACGACGAGTGCTGCGCCTTTTATGGCGCTGTGGTGTGGAAGGTTTGCACGAATTTTGCCCACTTGTCTCAACTGAGAGATTACACCGTCGCGTGGATTGTGTCAGACCACTAGATGCATAGTGTTATGTTGGATAACTCCTTCAGGAAATCAGCTGTCATCTGAATTGTTATGAAAGAGACGTCGGCACTCTTCGCATCATAGCCATCAGTGATCACTAATGCCCAGCCCAAAGAACTTGAAGATAGTGTCGAAGGTTTGCACGAATTTTTCCGAGTGCTCAACTGAGAGATTACACCATCACGTGGCTTGTGTCGGACTGCTTCACAAAACTGCAGAGTTTTGCCAACAACACTAGATACTGTATCATTTCGACCTTAGGTTCGTGGGAATGTCGGCACTGCATTACCTAATGGTTTTGTGACAGGTTCGTCTCTCAAGGACAGCTGTGACAAACTTACAATAGGTTCATAGGTTCATAAGGTTCATATTCAGTAGGATAATATATGTACTTTCTACACAAAGTATGGCTCAAAAATGACAATAAGGAGGGAAAAAAAAGTGGTTAGACAAATGTTTTCATAAAAAAACATATCTAAAAAAAACATATCATATGTTATGTCACAAAATTAGGTTCGTTGACCCAAAACAGCTGTGACTGTCACAAAAAATAGGTTTGGTTCGTCGGGCTTGCGATGGTGTGACGAACCTAAGGTTGAAATGATACAGTATACAGTGTCACATATTGGTGCATGACACATGTGACAACACGATGTGGCTCAGTGGAGTGTCACATAGGAATTCAAACCATTATATAACTGTTATCTCTCGTCTACCTCTCTTCCCTCATTTCGTTGTTCTACGACTGAGGGTATGTTCATTAGTGCTGCCGTGGTTTGGTCCAGAACCATGGTCCGTGGTCCAAGAATTGGGGCGGACTGGACCTGAGTGAGGTTCACAGTCCACCATTGCCCGAACGGTTCTATGTTGGTTCGAACCTTCCCCGAACTGCAAGAAGCTCTGTCACATTGTTGAAGCGTGTTTTGATACTGCCTTCAATGATCCACCTCAGCCTCAGGGAGCCCTGTTTTCACTATGAGCATTAGTCTCTCTCTTCCCTATTCTGTTTCAACTTTCACGCCATGGCTTCATTCTATTCCACTCAGGTATGATTTCACAACTTAGGAATCCTTATAGTAACAATCTCTGTTCCCTCCTCAGCCACACAAAGGATGTCCCCCACCTTCTCTGCTACGTCGCAGAAACAAGCAGACTGGAAAGAGTGTTTGGTAATGTCACCCCATCGAAACCCAAAGACTAGAACATTAGTTCAGTCTCATGCACACACCCAGAAGCCCATGCTCGTACCTCCCCACATGCCCACTATGATATCTTGCACCAGGCTCCAGCACCTCGTCTCGTGCCCTCGCGCAAGCACCCTACCCCAATCAACTGCCAGACCAGGTTTTCACTTCCACTAGGAACTGCAAGAAGCACTATCACCATGGTAAGCTATCCAACTCTGCACCTGTCGTGAACTGAAGCTGACACTGACATGCTCTCATAAAGGCAAGTGTCCTCCTCGCTATAAGTGGTGTTTTTGTCAGCATGGGTTCTCCTGTGTCTTACTTCGACTACATGTCACCTGTTCCCTATTGTCTACTCTTTATATCACTCATGTTCTCCATGATTGCAACATTGATGTCTGGCTCGAGCATGATATGTTGGCTGCACACTGATCGGCACTGGACTCAAGAAGTGAGTTTTATTCTCGTCATGCTGATTTGGACACCGGCTGACCTAAATATAATCAGCAACTCAAGCAAGGCAACTACTTTGTCTTGTCCTACCTGTTGTCGATAGTCACACCTATATTCTTTGTTGCTGTGTCATCCACGTTTGGCTCGCTACAGTTGTTAAAGGTGGCATATAGGAATGTCCATGTTTCTGTGACAGTCGAGGCAGAAGCAGCTGTCTTGTTGGATGTGTAGCTATGAGTAGGAGTCCTACCTATGTTTTTTTTTGCTCATCATAAATAAATTTGGTTCACATCAGGAAAAAGTGTTTGGACTGGTAGCGCCATGCCAATGCTATACTGCTGTAGGTAGTCAATCAAACCATGTGCAAGTCCATGTACAACAACAGAACTATGAGCACAATGACATGACACTTGTGCTGCGATGTTAGAACAAGTAGATTATAAATGCTGTATTATATCAAATGTTACGAACTAGGATAGTTCTAACAACGAAAGCTTGACAGAGGTTCCTGGTTGTTGAGATTCTAAGTCTCTCAGAAGAGAGAGAGTTCAAGGCTTAGTCGAAGGAGTGCTTCTACTAAGAGTCAGGTATCAGACGACTTAAGATTGGAGGTCTTAAGCGAAGGAAGTTTCTGGGGAAAACCTAGTAAGATTAAAGTGAAGTTCTACAGTGTAATACATGTGCTTAAATAGGCCAATATGTGTGCACAGACCAAGACAATCATGAGAAATAAGGTACAGTACCAGGAATGGTAAGTGATTCATATAAGTACAAGAAAATAGACAACAATGGAACAGTGATTGTAACATAAAATATGTTAAAATTAATGTAAAGATTGATATAAAACTCATCAGCAAGCTCGAGAACATCACCATTGATCCATGACATGTCTACCTTGCCTGATCCAAACCTGGGCATCAGATGACCCGCTTGCAAAACATCTTGCATGCTCACAACAGATGCAAAACACTGTTGGTTATGAGTTGAACGTACTAGCTGATAAAGATTTGTTGTGGGTTCTGGGTCATGGAGGGGGCAGAACCATTTGATATACGTGAGTGGGTGAGTGAAGTTACCATAGTGAGATGGTAATTTGAAGATCACATGTATCTGTGCAACCTGCAAGCCTGCAAGTGTCTAAGCATAATGGTTTGAAGCATAAAATGAAAGATGCACCATCAAGTCCTGTACCACTCTTCCATGCATCACAATCTTTGACAACAAAAGCAACATCAAAATGTGCAGGTGCAGCAGGCTTGCAATGTTCATGATTGGGAATAGGTGGATGAGCTTGAAGATGATTCAACCATTTGAGGTCACTGACATGACTGTTCTTAGGTAGGATAAGTAAAATTGATTTGAACACATCAAACCAATCATAGTTGCTGGCAGAAACAGAAGAACAGGGAAAGTGATGGTTGAGGAAAGTTTGAAGTGCAGGTATGAAGTCGATAGCACCAAAAATGGTTTGCAGATGAGATGGTGTAGAAGAGGAATGGGAAGTGGGTGAATATAGGTGGTATGAGATAACTCAAGTAGTCCTCGGTGAGCGAGATATACGTCGGCCCAAGGGAATTGCTACTGAGAAGGTTCCTCTAAGTGTATAAAACGGAGGGAAACACTGAACCGGGCACTTGATCGAGCCTGGTAAGGCGCGCGACGATGAGCGATAGTGGCCGACAATAGATATCGACGCGCGACTTATAACGGAAGCGCGCGCTTAAGCAGAAGCGGTGCGCGTGCAGGTGGTGGAGCGCAGCGACTCTTAATGAGTCAGAATACTAATGGACAGAGTTTCTAGTAATGTACGGTGGCGGCGCTCGTATTGTACTTAGATACTTTAGATTTTTAGAGGATAACTTAGACTTATAGTCCAACGATGTGTGGGCAGAAAAAGATAGTCATTACACAGTTTATGTGCGTCTATATATACTAAGTAATGTTAAGCGCTGTCAAGCGCTAAAGCGAACCGAGAAGTGAAGCGGATGCGAGATAATATGTAATAAGGGTCCATAATGGAAAACATATGAAACATGGCCATAAGCGCCGGAGATATGTCAGAATTAATGAAAATAGAATTGGAATATGCACCGACGAACCGAACAGACATGGAATGGATGGATGGAGGACGTGCGACGGAACTGAGGATGTGCACGCTGATGCGCGACTAAGGAGTGACCGGAGCGCTGGCGCTTGCGAGCGGCTGACGAAGCGCTTGAGCGCACTGTGTGAGATATGAGTCGCGCTATGTCAGGAAGTGATATTAACAATGGGATTTTAGATCCCTGCAAGGCCACAGGAATATTAGTCTCTACATCTCATAGGAACTTAGCTTCTGACTGTCCCCAGTCAGTGTATACATATAGGGGCGGCTGGACTTAGCAAAATTTCGATGAGGAAAGTCACATGATCGTGGGTAGAACGCGCTGAAAGCGTATGTGGAACGGTCCACCGGAGTTTTGCGAGCTGTGGACTGCGAGCGCTATTGTGCTGACATAATGTGGTTCGTTTCGGGCATAAAAGAACCGGCCTCGCGTCGCGCTTCTCTTCTTCAATTCAATTATCCATCGCATCCTTGCGATGTCTTCTTACTTGAGGTGTCTTATATAAAAGTGGTCAAAAGGCAATGACACCACAATTACACTTTTGATAAGACTAGATGCTGCCAAACAACCTCAAGTTCGCGGTCTACGACTTTTCTTCTTTCGTGGTAGATAACACGTCGTTCGTGGGAGGTTACCTGCTATACAGCCCGGTGGTGTGATTCTACCTAGAACAGTAGATGTTCTACAAGAGAAATCTAACTTTATCTGACAAGACAGATAATATAGACCTTGCAGAGAAATATCTAGCCTCTCCTATGGCTAGATGAAAAAAAATGCTTGACACAAATAAGTCTCTCTAGTCTTTTTTCTTGACTAGACAGATAAGTGATGTGATGTGCGTACTGTTGTGCAACTGGTTGCAACTGGATGTAGCAGATATTGCTAGAATTTTCCCCGTCTAAATATGTAAGGACTTGTTGATGGGAAATGAAGAGATTTGTATGACTGCGTGATACAAAACAAAGATGCTGGTTTGGACTCCTTTGAAGTAAAGCACAAAGGATATATCCAAAATAATAGGATGATAGTGTATAACCAACCGTGTGTTATACAACTACAATAATACAATGGATGTGTACAACTACGAGTTATACAACTTGAAAATATGTATGCAGATAGTCCAACAAAGGAATCTGCAGGCACAGATAAATTGGCTTGACTTGATACTCCTAGTCCTCTGAAACATATGTCAGATGCACACTAAGCAGTACAGGTACAGTCAAGAAAAGGATAAAATGATCTCAGAACAAGTCTAGTTACTTGGTCTGCACTTTCTGGCTAACACAAAGTGTCAATGTCAGGGAAAGTGGAAGAATGTGAGGGGGATTTCTCTCAGGTATTTGAAAGAAAAATGAATTCTTATATTTTTGGGTGGAGATTGGCTCTCCTTTATACATGAGATGAGAGAAACTGTATAGTACCAAGAAATAAGATTGAAAAGAGGAATGACATCAGAATTGCATCATAAATGATCTCATTGTGGAGCATTTGTGGAGCATTTGTGGAGCTAGGTGGAGCAGAACATTCTAGCATCCAATGACATCACTATGACATCAGAGAAACCAACAGAATAGGCCAGAACTATCTGTGGAGCCATATGACATCATCATGACATCATACCTTGCAGGTACGTTTTATGATGCATCTGAGATGTCAGTGAATCATATAGGTAAAGAGATGAAAGAAAAACATAGAGAAAATAAGGTAGGAATAATCATAAAAGAAAACAAAGCAAAACATGGGCCTTTTTGATAGGGTTTTTGTAGGCTTTTAACTTTTCTCCTTGGTTATTTGTAGTCAAAGTAAATAAGCCAAATGTTAGGTAATAACCTAAGCTTTTATACACCCATTACTTGGACTATGTCAATATATGATTTCTCCATCATATTTGACTTTTCTTCAAAAACACTGTACTTTTTTGTGTGATTGGAGCACACAAAGCTATCTGTTGCACTTGAGTCTATACTCAAAGTACATTTATTTTTTGTGTAGTCTGAGGACAAAGCTAACAGACTATAGATATGTGGGATCATGTGTCATGTATGTGTTCTGCATGATTCCCATATCATGCAGGACAGCGATAATCTCTTCATCACTTCCTACCATCCTGTCTTCCATCCCATTCAACCCTGCTATGCTTACTGCGTCTCCCTCTCCCTCACCTGAACCTGAGGAGCGCCCTCAAGACGAAGGCAACACGTCCGTCGATGACGCCACTCTCGACGACGTGACTCCGAAGGAGCCGCAGGAAACTGTTGCCGACCGGATCTGTCGGTCTTGGGTGGTGACGCTAAGCACGATGCGCATCTCGGTGAAGACCAGTCCTCCTCCGAAACCGGAGCTCCTCAAAGACCAGGAGTCCTGGCTTCACGCTTGGGAGTGGGCTATGGTGAGTTTTTATGATTGATGTGCCACTTACTGATCACTAATATAACTTTTCTTAGGGCGACATGAGTTCGCTGTTTGACCAGGCGCGCACCGCTGAGGTACATCTGTCCCTCAGCGATGCGGAAGCGGTCGATCTTGCCGCTGGCAAGGTTGCCGCTAAGGCCCTTTACAAAGCCATTAAGGCTTGGAAGGAGAAGGCTGTGGAACCTGTGCCGACCGCGCGTCAGGTGCATTTGGAGAAGGAGAAAGCGCTGGAAGTTTCGAAGATGGCTGAGAAGGCGGCCTCTGAGGAGGTGACTGATATGGGCCGTCCAGTAAGTTTCTTCTTTCTCATGTCTCCCCTTTTTTGCTAACTTGTTCTTACTAGCGTCTCGGCGGTCATATTACCACGACGCCAGTGATTACGCACCTGGACATCCCGTGCACACGGTGCGCGACTACTGAGATCCCTTGTGTCCTGGTCGATGGCAACCTGCGATGCAAGGGATGCACCAAGGCCAAGAAGGGCTACTCCTTTGGTATGTTTCCTTTTCTCTTTTTTTCTCCTTTGCCTTGTCGCCAACTCAAAGGAACGCGCGCCGGCTGTGCCGAAACCCAAGGTGGCTGTGCCGGCCGCGCCTAAGGCGAAAACACCTGTTCCTGCGCCTGCCCCAAAGGGCAAGACACCTCCCCCTGTCGCTGGACCAGTGCCGGGTTCGGTGACTGATACTGTGCCCAATGTCGGTTCATCGGACGTGGAAATCGTCGGTGAGTCGACCGTCGATGAGGATGCCGCCGTTGGTGGCAAGACTATTGTCGTTCAACGTGCGAAGCGTCCTCTCGCTTCCCGTCCTGCGCCGGTGCCTAAGTGTCCTCGCCTTGACTTAGCGGCGCAGTTGGACAAGTCTCGGATTGAGGCCGCTCAACTGTGGATTCAAAACACTGAGCTGGAAGCCGAGGTGGCGAAGTGGAAGGGGGTAGTCGTAGATATGCGGCAGCATAGCCGTGTGCAGGAGGCGGAGGTATTAGCGATGAGCAATCACATTTACTGCATGGGGCGCGATTGGGGCGCTTGGGAGAAAGAAATCGCGGAGATGCTAGAGGATAAGAAGTAGCGGTATATGGAATGTCTTCTTTTAGCTTAGAGTCCTTGTTGGCGCCAGCGTGCCTGTACTATAGAGTCTCCCAGCAGAGCGGCGCCTGGTGCGCCTTATGATAATATCCTGTCACGTCCAGTCCTGTGTCCGTCCTAATTCCATTTCCATGTCCAAATCAGTTCGCCGGCCTAATAAGGTAAGAGAAATCTGGGTAAGCGCGTGAAGTAGCATAGAGTCATAAGAAAATACGGCGGTTGCGCAAGCTGTGCGCTTGTCTTTTCTTCATCGGGCGTCCTGTCGCATCTATTCCGTTATTATACCCTGTGCATCGCTTGATATTAGGTGCTGTAGGTGTATAATTCTATGAGTATAATGGGTGCAGTGCGGCTACGCGCGTTTGAAATGGAAGGTCTATGGGCGGTTATGCGCGCGCTTCTATTATAACTTATTTTTTGAATATATATGTACTTGGCGGTTGATTGTCAGCCAATCAGCTGTATAGGATAGAGTCTGTTGGGTGTATGTTCAATGCAATGCGTGTGTTATGAGACATAATAAGAGAAACTGAGGTCACCGGCCGAAACCCGGGGTAAAATGGAGAGAATAGAAATCTATGGTATGTTTTGGCAGTTGTTTTTGTTTTATATTTTGTTTTTGTTGATTTGTTGAGCAGGGCGATGGCGGTTATGTGCAGATATGTGTGTGAGAGTGTCAATTGATATACGGGAAGTGGATAAGTGCTATGCGTCGGACGTGCGCTTGGGTTCGTCTTCGTCGGGTTCTTTGACATCTTTGTCGGCTAAATGATCAAGGGTCTCGTCGTCTTTACCAGTGACGCTTGTCACCATAATGCGCTCATTGCTGCGCGGGAAATAGGGAATGACACGGAACGCTGCATAGCACAA